GTACTCTGGACCACCAGGTGTACTCTGGACCACCAGTTGTACTCTGGACCACCAGGTGTACTCTGGACCACCAGTTGTACTCTGGACCACCAGGTGTACTCTGGACCACCAGTTGTACTCTGGACCACCAGGTGTACTCTGGACCACCAGGTGTACTCTGGACCACCAGTTGTACTCTGGACCACCAGTTGTACTCTGGACCACCAGTTGTACTCTGGACCACCAGTTGTACTCTGGACCACCAGTTGTACTCTGGACCACCAGGTGTACTCTGGACCACCAGTTGTACTCTGGACCACCAGGTGTACTCTGGACCACCAGTTGTACTCTGGACCACCAGGTGTACTCTGGACCACCAGTTGTACTCTGGACCACCAGGTGTACTCTGGACCACCAGTTGTACTCTGGACCACCAGTTGTACTCTGGACCACCAGTTGTACTCTGGACCACCAGTTGTACTCTGGACCACCAGTTGTACTCTGGACCACCAGTTGTACTCTGGACCACCAGTTGTACTCTGGACCACCAGTTGTACTCTGGACCACCAGTTGTACTCTGGACCACCAGTAGTACTCTAGACCACCAGTAGTACTCTAGACCACCAGTTGTACTCTGGACCACCAGTTGTACTCTGGACCACCAGTTGTACTCTGGACCACCAGGTGTACTCTGGACCACCAGTAGTACTCTGGACCACCAGTTGTACTCTGGACCACCAGTAGTACTCTGGACCACCAGTTGTACTCTGGACCACCAGTAGTACTCTGGACCACCAGTTGTACTCTGGACCACCAGTTGTACTCTGGACCACCAGGTGTACTCTGGACCACCAGTTGTACTCTGGACCACCAGGTGTACTCTGGACCACCAGTTGTACTCTGGACCACCAGGTGTACTCTGGACCACCAGTTGTACTCTGGACCACCAGGTGTACACTGGACCACCAGTTGTACTCTGGACCACCAGTTGTACTCTGGACCACCAGTTGTACTCTTGACCACCAGTTGTACTCTGGACCACCAGTTGTACTCTGGACCACCAGGTGTACTCTGGACCACCAGGTGTACTCTGGACCACCAGTTGTACTCTGGACCACCAGTTGTACTCTGGACCACCAGTTGTACTCTGGACCACCAGGTGTACTCTGGACCACCAGGTGTACTCTGGACCACCAGTGTACTCTGGACCACCAGTAGTGGACCACCAGTTGTACTCTGGACCACCAGTTGTACTCTGGACCACCAGTTGTACTCTGGACCACCAGTTGTACTCTGGACCACCAGTTGTACTCTGGACCACCAGTTGTACTCTGGACCACCAGGTGTACTCTGGACCACCAGTAGTACTCTGTACTCTGGACCACCAGTTGTACTCTGGACCACCAGTGTACTCTGGACCACCAGTTGTACTCTGGACCACCAGTAGTACTCTTGTACTCTGGACCACCAGTTGTACTCTGGACCACCAGTTGTACTCTGGACCACCAGTAGTACTCTGGACCACCAGTTGTACTCTGGACCACCAGTTGTACTCTGGACCACCAGTTGTACTCTGGACCACCAGTGTACTCTGGACCACCAGGTGTACTCTGGACCACCAGTGTACTCTGGACCACCAGTTGTACTCTGGACCACCAGTAGTGCTCTGGACCACCAGTTGTACTCTGGACCACCAGTTGTACTCTGGACCACCAGTAGTACTCTGGACCACCAGTTGTACTCTGGACCACCAGTAGTACTCTGGACCACCAGTTGTACTCTGGACCACCAGTAGTACTCTGGACCACCAGTTGTACTCTGGACCACCAGTTGTACTCTGGACCACCAGTTGTACTCTGGACCACCAGTTGTACTCTGGACCACCAGGTGTACTCTGGACCACCAGTTGTACTCTGGACCATCAGTTGTACTCTGGACCACCAGTTGTACTCTGGACCACCAGTTGTACTCTGGACCGCGTGCGGCTCAAGCACCCTTCTGAGAACAAGCGAGGCATGCTCCTACCCAGAAACAACAGATCTATTGATCTACACTCCGGCAGCTGAGTCAGATAAGCTAATCGTGCTTGCTGGGCGGAAGCTTAGAGTACTTCCAGTTCCATAATCTCTACCAATGTCGAGCGTTAGCGTGCACTCAAATTGTGTATTGTGAGTGATTATAACTGAACTCAAACAGCAACAGGTCATTAGATCCAAATTAGGCTGTTATGGAAGCCTCTGGTGGCAGAAAGTATGGTGGGCGGGCATTTGATGGCCTATCGAAACCAACTGACTCCTCGGTACCACAGCGTAATTAACCCAGTCTCTGGGAGCCGGTCGGCCGAGCGGACAGCACGCTGGAATTGTGATCCTGTGGTCCTGGGTTCGATCCCAGGCGCCGGCGAGAAACAATGGGCAGAGGTTCTTTCACCCTATGCTCCTATTACCTAGCAGTAAAATGGGTACCTGGGTGTTAGTCAGCTGCCACGGGCTGCTTCCTGGGGGTGGAGGCCTGGTCGAGGACCGGGCCGCGGGGACACTAAAGCCCTGAAATCATCTCAAGATAACCTGTAAACTTTTGCTTCAGTGTACCAGAGTGTACCTCATATAAAATAAAAAATAAATAAATAAATGTTTATTTAGGTAAGGTACATACATACAAGAGGCTTTACACAAAAGTTGATAGATTTATAGATAGAGTTAGTACATACAATGCCTAAAGCCACTATTACGCTAAGCGTTTCGGACAGGAAAAACATTAATGACTAAAACTTAATACTAACTAATACTAATATGGTAAACTATCTTATATATCTAGTTATTTTAATCATTCTAGCGAAGGCTATTTTATCAGTTATGTTTCTATTCATTGTTAAAGGAGTTTTTGTCACTAGTGTTATTGTGTCCATAATGTTAAGATCACTAGTAACTGTTGCTGTGTGAGAGGATCCCAGACGCTGCCTTAATAGACTTCGCTACGACATGGTAAAAGAATTACAACCAGAAGTTCTACTGCCCTTACTTGCAGCCTCTCCGAGACACAAACCAGAATTTTACGTCTGGGATGCTCTCGGACGTAGGCTCGAACCCTCGTCACGGCCCTTGTGGATTTGTTCAGATAGACAATGTTAACATTAGCATTAAAAATGATGAACAGTTCCTTGGCTCATACACAGATAAGAGACTGAACTTCAGCACCCACATACAACGAAGGTTCAGAAAGTTTAAACAAAGCGGTCAGGATACTCTCTAAAATCAGATATTATGTTCCTGACTCTACTCTCCTTGCGCTATATTACTCGTTAATCTATACCGGTTAGGGAGCCGGTCGGCCGAGCGGACAGCACGCTGGACTTGTGATCCTGTGGTCCTGGGTTCAGGCGCCGGCGAGAAACAATGGGCAATGTTTCTTTCACCCTATGCCCCTGTTACCTAGCAGTAAAATAGGTACCTGGGTGTTAGTCAGCTGTCACGGGCTTCTTCCTGAGGGGTGGAGGCCTGGTCGAGGACCGGGCCGCGGGGGCACTAAAAAGCCCCGAAATCATCTCAAGATAACCTCAAGATACCTCTCTAACATATGGTTTGTGTACATGGAGGTCAACCACTCCAAGTTACCTCAAGCCTATCATCACTCAGCAAAAGTCTTCTATCAGAACTACAACAAACTCTGTCTTCAGACATCTTAAAGCCCTCTGTTTAGGTCCCTAAACATGTTGAAGATACACTCACTCCACACATTCAATCCCTTGTACCATTTACATGTATAAACCCTTGTTCCTAAATACTAATCCTGATCTGAAACGCTTCATTGTATAGATGTAATAGAACTCATGGGCACCACAACAGGAATAAATATATCGTTCATATTCTTAGCTTGAGCTGCCTCATCCCTTTGTGTGTATTTTACCTCAATAAACTGATTTCAATTTCAATTTCACCAGAGTAATAATCCCATCAATTTATAGTGTAGTTATTATGTTGAACTGACAGTCTGCTACAATGTGCCTGTTATCACTTATAGATTATGGACCTGCCCGAAACACTATGTGTGTTGTGGCTTTGTGAGAATGTTTATTTATTTATTTATATATATATATACAAGAGTTGTTACATTCTTGTACAGCGACCAGCACGTGTAGTGTTCCGGGCAGGTCCTTAATCCTATGGTCCCTGGAATACGACCCGCGATAAATCGTTTAACAACCAGGTACCCATTTTACTGTTGAGTTAAACAGAGGCTACAGTTAAGGATTTGCGCCCAGTCAATCCTCCCCGGCCAGGATACGAACCCAGGACAAAGCGCTCACGAAACGCCAAGCGAATGTCTTACCACTATGCCACGGAGACTGCTAAATGTAATAGTCAAACACCAATGTTAAGCACTCTTACAACCCAATGTACCTTCTTGTATATACATCAGTCAGCAAATAAATGTAACTGTGAATTCTTGTATAATAAATAAATAAATAAATAAATGGAAGAGAGATACTTGTCACTTCCATTTTTAAATGTATGTACGATATTACAGGATATTACGCTCAGTGCGTAAAGGAATATTACACGATTACATTATAAATGTCACACTATGTACCCTTTTCGTAGTAGATAATTATTATTATTAAATATTTTTATTATGAATGGAATATTTGTATTATTAATTTTTATTTTTAATTTAGTTCCCCAGCACCCTCTCCCAGATGCTTATTTTAACCTCGCGACTTTGGCTCCTGGTAAAGCTTCGACTTTAAAGATTTTATTTAATATAGATTTAGATTTATATTTATATTTTTTATTGAGGTAAAGGTACATACATAGAGGATGAATTACAAACATAATGTGTGAATTAAAGATAAAGCTAGTACATACAATACCTAAAGCCACTAATACCCATAGCGTTTCGGGCAAGTTTCGGGATATAACCAAATCAAACATAAAATATATATATTTAGTTGTAAATAGTAATATTAGATATTTAAATATAAAATATATATAAGTTATTATAGAAAATATTAGGACAGAAGGTAATGAAGTCGAGGAGAGAGAGCGCGGAGGTAAACAGTGACGGTGACTGATCAACAAGAGAGGATGGCGCGGGGTACCAGTGCCGGGTTTGACCGTCATATTACTATCTTCTCCCCCGAGGGAAGACTTTACCAAGTTGGTGAGTTAACACACAGCTTCCTGGGGCTGCTGTCTTCCTCTACCGCCACCAGCGAGGGTGTTGTTGCTGGCCGCCAGCTGTGGGTAGTGAGGGAGGGTGATAGTGACCGCCTCATGTACAGTGAGCCTTCACACACTCACAATGGTACTTTTATAGGTTTAATAACTCATATTTGACTACCAAATTAACACGGGAGACATCTCCCGTCACGCAGGGTGCAGTCGCACCTCCACAGATCTCCAGTATCAGCTCTTGATACTGGTAATGGCTCCAAAGGGCCACCTCTTACGGGGCTATTCATGCCCGTGCCACCTTTTGGGTGGCTTAATCTTTATCAATCAATCAATCACCAAATTAAGTTATTAATTTGGTAGTCATCATGGAAGCCTCATATATTGCATAGGTTAAGATTATTGGCCTCTGGGTTTTGGCACCAGAAAAAATGTACAGCATCAGAATGAGTGCACAGAATGAAACACAAGTTCAGTACAGTATATGGAAGTTGTCAAAACAACTCATGTCGTCACGTTAGTGGTCATAAACGGCATGGTGGACGGTCTCCTGTGGGGTCAGGAGCCTCATTTAAGTTGGGCCTCAGATTTGGCTTCAAATTTCAAGTGCCAAATTAATAACTTAACATTACAGCAGATTTAGATAAGGACCTTGGGAGTCAAAATTCACAACTCGCTAAAAGTTGTAGGGCAGGTAGGGACAGCAGTCAAAAAAAAGCAAATGAAACGTTTCGAATAATGAAGCGCACCTTTGACTTTAGGAAAATGTTTTATTGATTGGATTCGGGTAGGAAATTGGTCATCACTTTCCCCAGCTTTGAGTGGACGAGGCTGTTAATGTGCAACAATATTCCACCCTAGATGATACTTGCGTCTTAAACTAGCGACGGCCAACTGGTGGTCCGCGAGAACATTTTTGTGGTCCACAAAAAAATCTGGACATTATTTGCATTTTTTGTTTTAATAATAATAAATAATATTCTAAGAAATTCTTACATTCTGAATGTTTATTTTATTTGTGTATTGTACGTAACTGTGTTTCATTTAACTTATACATAATGGCATCAAATGGTTTGATTTTAATAGCTATCATTTCTTCTTTGGTTTCAAATTTGAATGCGATAAATCCATAATAAGTGGAATAAAGCAAAGGAATATTTTGCATTTCTTTAGTACTACAAAAGATAATGTAACTAATGCTAATAGTTACAATAGTAATGTGTACTTTATTTAACCGTGAGCTGATCAATAATTCAGAGCCTCCATAGGCCTCATCAGGCACCATAAGCAACAACATTCAAATTGGAGGCGGAGAGAAGAAAAAACTCAATATCAAAAAAATTATTGTATTGTATTCTTTAAATGTAAGGTCTTCCGACATGATCACATCATGGAGGGTGTTGACAAGGTAGACAAGGCCTTTTGTGAATAGAAAGAGTAGGAACAGTAGAACATGGAAAAGACAAGGCCTTTTGTGAATAGAAAGAGTAGGAACAGTAGAACATGGAAAAGACAAGGCCTTTTGTGAATAGAAAGAGTAGGAACAGTAGAACATGGAAAAGACAAGGCCTTTTGTGAATAGAAAGAGTAGGAACAGTAGAACATGGATGGAAGGTGAAAATTCAAATGAGTTAGAGAAATGTAAGGAAAAATTTGTATTGTGTACAGGTGGTCAACAAATGGGATGCACTGAAAGTTGTAATCATGGAAGCCATCTTAATGCACAACTTTAAGGCCTGGTTCGACAAAAGAATTTGAACGTCGGAATTAGTTTAATTATAATACAACAAGTAAGGCTAGTAGGCAGGGCATAAAGAGCTAGATCTTGCTTCCCTACTCACTGATAGGTAAGGACTGCTATCAACATCCCTGACCACATCCGTCCACACTCGGAACACAGCCCGAGTGCCCAACCCACCCCCCAACACTTATTTTCTCCTTTCCCTTGTCCATGTTTGTAATATATACTGTACTGGTATGTAGAGAGGAGAGCAAGAGTTTATTAATTTAAATATACTGTACCTGTTCAGTATTTATAATATTTGTCAAGATATTCTTTTCATAGTGACTGGGGATACACTGTATCCTCTTTGATCAACTGTGAGGACAACCTGCATACTTTATTATAAAAATATGCCTTAAATATTCTTTTTATTAAAAATATAAAGTGCAATGCTGTACATTTATTATTTTATATATACAGTACTGTAATTATATTTGACATTTTTTGAGTTTGATTTGAAATTTTTGTTTCTTTCAGAATATGCATTTAAGGCAATCAACCAGGGAGGACTTACGTCAGTAAGCTGCAAGGGGGAAGACACAGCCGTATGTGTTACTCAAAAGAAAGTGCCGGTGAGTGTTCAGCGTTGGTAAATGGCTTCAAGTGTCAGTGTACAGTATGTTCACTACACTGGTATTATTTATCTGCAATTAGTTCAATTTTATGTGAACAGTTCTAATCCTGAAGGTATTGCGAACAGTGAAAAATACTATTATAAATGAATGTATTATTACAATACATCCATTCATTGTATGCAGGCGATGAGTCACTATAACGTGGCTAAAGTATGTTGGCCAGACCACACACTAGAAGGTGAAGGGACGACGACGTTTCGGTCCGTCCTGGACCATTCACAATCGACTTGAGAATGGTCCAGGACGGACCAAAACGTCATCGTCCCTTCACCTTCTAGTGTGTGGTCTGGTCAACCTGTATTGTACGTCTGCACTCCATGCTCAGTGTTAGCACCTGCAGTTGTGCTTATACACGAATTTAATGGTTATTGAACCATTAGATAAACTGAATGCAATATTGTAGAAAGATTGCCTCTTATATATAAATACTTACAATACTATACTGTCATTACTAATCAAAATGTGTTTCTTTGGTTAGGACAAGCTGCTGGACCCCAGCACAGTGACGCACATGCATCAGCTCACCAAGAATGTTGGCTGCGTAATGACTGGCATGCAGCGTAAGTTGCTAATTTAAATGTTCACTTCTTTGTGCATATCTTTATACATTTTGGATAAAATCATTTGTTTTTGCCAACTTTAAATTTTATTTTTAGTACTGTATTTAGTAGAGGACATTTAAAAATATGTACAATAGTTATATTTTGTTGTTGTCGAGTAGTTGATCTGATCTTGAAGATATTAGAGAACAGAAGTTGGTTTATGCATCTTTCTTGTCATAGGTATTCAAGGTACTTTATTTGTATAGGCCAAGACACTGACATGTAACGAAGTATTATAATACAATTTCAGTGCTGTGTAAGAAAAAATTATTAATATTGTATATTAAAGTAAGATTTCATATATTTAAAGGAAAGTTATTTTTCAGCTGACAGCAGGTACCAGGTAATGGTCGCTCAGAGTGAAGCTAACAACTTCAAGTATCGTTATGGTTATGACATGCCCATTAATGTTCTGTGCCGACGTATAGCCGACATCAACCAAGTATACACACAAAATGCTGAAATGCGCCCCTTGGGATGCAGTAAGTTAAAACCCTTATGAGTACTGTACTAAAGTGTAAACACTCGATTATTTGTTAGTGATAAAGTATTTTCTTCTAGGTCATACAACCACTTTTTTAACATTTGTATAAATTATACCTGTTGAGTTCTCATATCTAAGAAAAAGAAATTAATTCAAAAAATAAAATATGATTTTGCACTTAATACACTTGTGGATGATGTCTCAAGATTACTGAGTCTCGCTCCACTGCCTGGTACACACCCACTTGCAATCTTTGTACTGATGCCATGGTTACTACGAACCACTGTATTACTGATAACAAAGTCAGACTATGTGATCAGTAATACAGTGACTGATAACAATACTTTGTGACTAATCACATCGCAAGATGTACAAGGAAGTAACGTCATCATTTCCTTTATTTTCAGACGTGAGAGTTGGGCGTCTAATTTTCCGCCGCATTATTATGATTTACTGTGAAGTTTAAATTAATAAAAATAAGTTGCAAAGTTGCATTGAGTCAATAGTGTTAACTGCTGTTAGTTCTGAGCTCTTCGCTAACTGAAAATAGTTTGATTTGTGAAGGAAAAGGATATCCCTTCAAGAATTTATAGAAAGATCAGTTCGCTGGCTATCAACCACTTAGATAAATTATTTTCCAGCTTGTTTCTCGGTCTGAAGATAATGAATTTCAGGCATGATCTTGATTGGCTATGATGATGAGCTTGGCCCGTGCGTGTACAAGACTGACCCAGCTGGCTACTATTGTGGTAATCGAGCGTGCTCGGCTGGTGTCAAACAGACGGAAGCAAACAGCTTCTTGGAGAAAAAGTAAGTTATGTAATTTGAATTTGCTTCCTCCTGGTAATGATTTTCTTTTTCTTAGACATTTGCTATTTAAGTTAATTGTTACTGTTTGTATTTCCAGGTGTTGTATAGTTATACTGGCTTAGCACGTTCTCTTTATAATTTACCTGAAGGTCACCATTTCACCAGTGGCCTCGACGAGGACAAGAAGCCAGTGGCTTGTCAAAGGTCCTCAAATTTGTCCAGATAATTTTATCCAGATGGATATTGATTTAAAGCAATATTTTGGCAGTACTGTAATGGCCTTGGCGGGTAGGCTTATAAACCTATGGGCAAAAAGAGCCTCTTCACGTGTGTGAGTTACATCTGAACTATTAAAGAAGTTGTCTCGATCAGTATACTCCACATTGTTCAATATTTTAAAAGTTTCAATGTGATCAGCCCTGTCAGGTCTAGTTGTGTTTGAGGGGGGTTGAGCTTTAGCTCTCTGGTCCCGCCTCTCAACTGTCAATCAACTGGTGTACAGTTTCCTGAGCCTACTGGGCTCTATCACATCTACACTTGAAACTGTGTATGGAGTCAGCCTCCACCACATCACTGCCTAATGCATTCCATTTGTTAACTACTCTTGACACTGAAATGCAACTGGATCACACAAAGAGGCTTGCTTTTTCCCTAACTGTATTTGATCGACTACGTCTGCATCTGATGTTAGCACAAGATCTAGAATGCCGTCACCTTGAGTAGACTCTAGTCACTTGCCGTGTGTGAAAGGAGTCCTGTACCAGGTCAAGAAACTGTTCTCCTGCTTTAATGATGCCCAATCTCTTGTCTCAGGATTAAAGTCCCCATTATAAGGGGTTGGGTTTCCACTGCTGCATTGATCACATTATATACAGATCAGTAACTTCCACTGCTGCTGTTGTGTGTGTTGTAGCATACTTCTACTTCCACTTTGATGCCATTTTGAGCTAGTATGCTGCACCATACAGGTTCTGAGGATCCCATGGTGTTCAATTCCTCATTATTAGTTGTATTCAAGTCTTGTATTACATATAGCATTACACCACCTACTCTTGTTGTTCTGTCCTTTCTGAATGGTGTGTTGTGTCCTGGAAGATGAAATTCTCCTTCAATTATGCCCTCTCATCGCCATCGCTGATGCCAATGATGTCGGGATTCTCCGCCTCCATGTATGCACACAATGCATCATATTTATTTACTAAGGTTCTGGCAGTTGTGTAGACGAAATTTAAATTCGTGACAGTGTTCCCAAGAGGGCCGAGAGAGTGCTCTTTGCCTTAATTAACAAAGACAATGGAGCAGCTATGGGGAAATGGTCATACCTGCTTATGAAAAAGAAAAATTTCATTGATTATTAATTTGTATGCAGAATATAAGAGAAACATGATAATAAGTGAATATTTATCTTTTCACTTGGTGGAGGTGCTCTAACTCTGTCTGACACTCGTCAATGCCTGGTGCTCAATTTTACACACACACTTCCTGATTTATTCTCTGAATATTTTATCACTTGTTTTTCTTTATTTACATCCACAGAGCCTTTATATCCATATTTACATCATCTCTGTAAAACCCAGACAATAATTGTTTAAATCATCATATGATGACTGCATTCCCCTAGTAACATTCATGACGATTACTGCGTTTGTACCACGAAATGGTAGCAGGATTTTGTCATGGGTCAAGGTAAACTCCATTACATCCACATAGATCTATTATATCCAGATTTGCATCATACATGTAAAACCCAGATAATAATTTTGCAAATCTTCATATGATAACTACATTACCATGTTATGTGGGTTATTGTTATGTTGAGATGATTTTGGGGCTTTAGTGTCCCCGCGGCCCGGTCCTTGACCAGGCCTCCACCCCCAGGAAGCAGCCCATGACAGCTGACTAACACCCAGGTACCTATTTTACTGCTAGGTAACGGGCATAGGGTGAAAGAAACTCTGCCCATTGTTTCTCGCTGGCGCCTGGGATTGAACCCAGGACCACAGGATTACAAATCCAGTGTGCTGTCCACTCGGCCGATCGGCAGTATGCTCATAAGATTTTAGCATTATGATTTACATTGTTGCAGGCGATGAGTCACAATAACGTGGCTAAAGTATGTTGACCAGACCACACACTAGAAGGTAAAGGGACGACGACGTCGACTTGAGAATGGTCCAGGACGGACCGAAACGTCGTCGTTCCTTCTCCTTCTAGTGTGTGGTCTGGTCAACATTTACATTGTTATATCTCTTTTGTTTGAATAGCAATAATTTTCAACCTGCTTGTTCCAGATACCGAAAAAAGACAAATTACACCCACGATGAAACCATCCAGCTGGCCATTACTTGCCTCATGACCGTCCTCTCGGCAGACTTTAAACCCACAGAGATTGAAGTGGGAGTCGTATCAAAAGAGGAACCTAAATTTAGGTAAGGATTCTTGCCAGATGTTTATGACTATGCCTGGATATTAACCCCCTCCCCCCCCCCTCATACTTATGTTGCCACATTTTGTGTAGCAAAATGTTTAAAGTTAACAATGTGTGTAGTATACTGGGAGGCATTTTGCTGTGTGGTTAACATCGGAAACTGACAAGGGTGTTGTGCCGTGCCCTGCTTGGTGCCCCCGTCAGAGCTGCTCAATGGTTCATTATGGTGCATACAAAAGTAGATACTGTAGTTACATATAACATGTATAAACAATGTAATAACAGCAAAAAACTTTGTTTTATTGCTAGAAAAAAATATATTTTGTGCATATTAGTGACACACACACACATCTGAGCATACCTGTTCTACATGTTCTTGTGTTCTGTGACACAAATAACAACTTTGACAGCCTAATGCATCATTGTACCAGACAAAACATAGTAAAAGCATTAAAATATGAAGGAAATATAATGTAATTATATTTTCACGCTATGCGTGCTAGTGGCTTTACAAGAATGTAAGAACTCCTGTATATCAATAAATATTTCTTTCTGGGTATTCTATTCATTTGGTTTTAATTATTTTTTCTAGTGTTTGGACTACAATGCTAGTTAATGATATAGGTCTATAATTTAGAGGGTCTTCTCTGCTACCATTTTTGTAGATTGGAACTATGTTTGCCGTTCCCATATATCTGCAAAAATTTCTTTTACATAAAGATTCCTGAAAAATCAATTAAAGTGGTGAACTCTAAACTTCTTTTTGTGTGTGTAAATGTATGTATAGTTTAGTTTATTATTGTATAACAATAATACTTTTATAATAATTTGCTGTATTTTAATATTTTTGTTATAGTTTTCATATACTTTATTAATAACTAAATTATTATTATTGTTCATTACCCAAAATTTATTTGGGTAATGAAGATCATTAACAGCTGTTGTCATAATATCTTGAGGTGCTTCCAGGGCTTAGCGTCCCCGCGGCCCGGTCGTCGACCAGGCCTCCCCTGGTATGTATATATAATAATAATAATAGTACTGGTTTTGGCTGTTATGGGCCTCGGCAGCAACTAGGATGAATAATCTTCAGGTGACCGGTCGGCCGAGCGGACAGCATGCTGGACTTGTGATCCTGTGGTCCCGGGTTCGATCCCGGGTGCCGGCGAGAAACAATGGGCAGTTTCTTTCACCCTATGCCCCTGTTACCTAGCAGTAAAATAGGTAGCTGGGTGTTAGTCAGCTGTCACGGGCTGCTTCCTGGGGGTGGAGGTCTGGTCGGGGACCGGGCCGCGGGGACACTAAAGCCCCGAAATCATCTCGAGATAACCTCGAGAAGATAACCAAACATTTGTATGTTCCGGTAAACAGTTTACACAGAACACAATCCAATCAGGCCATCCATGAATTGGTTAGAACAAGGCTCCCCGGTATGTTTACGATCGTTAAATTGGGCCAAAAAATCTTTCATCCAAGAGATCTTATTCTTGGCAAATACAGCGAAGGCTAGTGAGGAAAGGCATGGCTGCAAGCAGCTGGCTGCCTCCTGTCTCTCTCAACTAGTATTACCTCAAATTTCTTCTTAAAGGAAGTATACAAGTCAGCCTCTATTCAGTGAACTGTACAGCATTTAATTATAGTTTGTATTTGCATAACATTTTTTCAGAAGTGCATCATTCCCTGTACAAGTCGAGGACCACCTAAATCTTATGATTTATTTTACAAAATGGTGTAACTACTACAGTACTGTAGTAATAGAATATACCCGCCAAACACACACCGAAACTACGACGGTATAACGTTGGAACAAGTTTTAACACCTCCTAACCAGTTATAACAACCAATATAGCAAGTTGTAACAACGTTCTAATACGTCATAAACACGTTAAGCCAAGATTAACAACTTTATTACAAGTTGTAACAAGCGGAAAATAGAGACGGTTTCGGTTTGTGTTTCCAGGGTATTCACCTTCATTTATATTCCAATTTTTACTTTCTTTCAGGGCCTTGACAGAACAAGAAATTGACTTTCATCTTAGTGCCATAGCAGAGAGGGACTAAGAAACTATTCCATCACCACCAACTAGGTATATAAGCTCTTGGAAATTGTCAAAATATGGTGAGCCTTTTTTCATAACTGAAATTACATTGTTTTTTATTACTATGCCACATTAAGGAAGTGATGTTTACCATATATAAATAATACACCTCAGTCTTTAATTTGTATTTGAATATTACCTAATAAAGTTTGATAACCATGTAATGGTTTTGCTTTACCAAACTGAATAGTACTGATTTTCACGTGCGGCATTTTTTCCCCAACTCGGTATTCTGCAGCCGTTTTATTTCTGTTATGACATAAACATTCATGATTTACTCTGTGATGAGAGAAGTGTTGGCCGATAGTACTGTTATAATTAAGTTTATCATCCAAAACCAATGTAATCATTTTTAAACTTTGCAACTCAAGGCTAGAGAAAAAATGTCAAATTGTATAAATGTTTATTTTTTTAAATACAATACATCTTTGATGATTACTTAAATATAATACAGTACTGTATGATGACACACTCAACTCTCCCCATATAAGTAGTTATGAATTTTGTTATAATTTATATACTTTTACTAGCTATAGATACATATTTTCAGTGCTTATTACAAAGTATGAAAGTGCATCTCAAGAGTTTTTAGGAGTTCCTTAGAGTCCACATGTGCGGGAAAGAGTGCGAGTGCCTTCTGAACGATGATGTAGCTGGTCTGTAGGTCTCCAACCTGAAATTAAAATTGAGCATGATTACATTTTTAATGTATGTAAATTACAGGATACAGCAATACTGCAACCAATACATATGAGCATGATTACATTTTTAATGTATGTAAATTACAGGATACAGCAATACTGCAACCAATACATAGTAATGCTGTTGATTCATTACATGAACATTTACTGGTGGGTAATGACAAATTGAAAAATGTTTTTTTCCAAGTACAGTACTGTATTCAATAAAGTTAGGAAGAGCTTTTTCAGTGTCAGAGTAGCTAACAGGTGGAATGCATTAGGCAGTGATGTGGTGGAGGCTGACTCAATACACAGTTTCAAGTGTAGATATGATAGAGCCCAGTAGGCTCAGGAATCTGTACATCAGCTGATTGACATATCTGATAGTTTTCAGATAGATATCAGTAGATAGTAATATCTGATAGTTTTCAGATAGATATCAGTAGATAGTAATATCTGATAGTTTTCAGATATTACTGAAAATTTAAAAGAAGAAAGAATGTGTGGCCACTGTGAAGTAATTCCTAATTAACTGAAGACTTGTTACATTTGTTAATTTAATACTAATGATTGGTTCAAGGAACAAAATTACCATCGAAAAGTTAGTTCTCTGTTAAACATAAAATTCTTTGTCATTGTTTCTCACTTTCAAAGAGTGGGGAAGCACTTGCCTGGTGATGGTAATGATTATAGGAGATGAGAGCTAGTCATTGTCACACTACATAGCATTACACCACGCCCAGTACTGTAGTGCGGCAAGATTCTAGATAATGAGAATATTACTTCTAGATACAAATGTTTAAGTAACTGAATCTCTTCAGTGCATCTACAGGGGAGTATAGCAATACACAGTATAACATAGACTATTTTTAAATTGATAACAGACCTGACAATTACCTCAAAGATCTGCATTACAGTACATAGAAAAGAGAACCATGTACCTTGAAACATCTCTGCATCTGTAGTATAGTACTGTATTCAATGAAGAAAATAATGTTTAAGAATCAATTGACTATAGAAATTAAATGACTGCATAATAGATATTAAGGAAAACTGAAAACAGCAGAGAATAATGAACACTCCGTATGTTTAGCAGACTGTTTGGCGGAAGTCTAACTATAGCAAATGTGCAGAGAATACTTAGAATATAAAACACTCGGGACTTCTGTAGTGCCTGACCTTATGAGCAAGTTTGGCATGATTAAAATGTGGCTGGAACATGTGAGGGGCCAGGCTGGATGCCGTCATGAAGAAGGCACGAGCTGTATCCAGGTTCCCTCGCCGATACTCCAGCACTCCCAAGTTGTTGTATGACTCCCCGTGGTCGTTGTTAGCAACAAGAGCCAAACGATAGCATTGGTATGCCAGGTTTATGTCCCCAATTCCCTAGAGATGATATCGTCAGTAATATTATGTGCGCACAGTGCATTTAAATAAAATTATCTCTTCATGTTTTCTATACCGTATAGTATCTTATTTTCACTTCAACATTTAAAAAGTAAGATGATAAAGAAGTCCTGCATTGGAGTTGTGATGAAATTTGAATGACTACAGATACATTTTTAGCGATAAAACATTAATGAAGTGTTAGAACAGGATAACAGATAGTGAAATGCTGAATTTTTTATTTCATGGCTATACTGTACAACATTGCCTAAATGAATACTCATTTTTTTTATATACTGTACTAAATTTAGGTTCATAGATAGAAGAGAAAGGTCATTTTACAAATTGCCAATTTTTCTTTCATAATTTCTTAGTGGCATCTGTAAAGAGAATTTTAAGAATTTCCAGAAATATATCTTAGGATGCTTGAGAACCTTCAGACCAGGGCTTTTGAAAGACTCAAATACAATGATAATTGAGGATTTTTATAGTTTGTTTATTTTATATACAGTAATTTAAAATTGACATTAACAAATTTTGAAGTGCCAGAGTAATTTATTATTTACTGACAACTGTTGGAAGGTCAGTCTGGAGCAGCAGTGTTACACTGTAATAATGTAAAGCTAATAAGTCAAGAGCAAGTACACAGCTTTTTATACTCTAACTTATCAGTACATTTAAGAATTGTTATTCTAAACTATTAGATGAATATTAAACAAATAATGTCACTACTAACCAGAGCTATATGTCCCAAGTTGTACCATACATCAGCTACGCTCTGGTCGGTGGCCAGGCTGAGTGCTCTTTCAAAGCACGTCAGTGTCATGTCATATTGCTGAGCATAGAAACAACACAAACCCAAGTTGTTGAAGATCTCGCAGTTGTAAATGCCCATTTGCAGTAGACGTCTGAAAGAACATTTTGGTCAGGGGCCAGATTCACGAAAGCACTTGCGCAAGCACTTACGAACCTATACATCTTTTCTCAATCTTTGGCGGCTTTGTTTACAATTATTAAACGGTTAATGAGCTCCGAAGCACCTGGAGGCTGTTTATAACAATCACAACAGTTGATTGGCAAGTTTTCATTCTTGTAAACTGTTTAATATATGTAAACAAAGCCGTCAAAGATTGAGGAAAGATGTGCACGTTCGTAGGTGCTTGCGTAACTGCTTCGTGAATCTGGCCCCAGGCCCTTCCTGGTAATTTTAATCAAAAGGTATTAACCAATTTGAAAATGTATCGTTAAAAGCTACATGAAACATAGTGAAAAGGCATGATATCTTTAGTTACTATTCCTTCCCCTTTCTTTTTAGTTTTCCATTTAGTTTCTCACTAGAGGCAAATGGCAATATATCTTGTTATATAACACCTTTGTTTCCTGCATGATAATCATATGAAGCATTAAAATATAAGAAATTTAATCTTTAAATTTTCCTATTTATATAATGTGCTCCTGTTTGGATGCATTTTGTTATTTGTCAGGAATTTTAAAATAAGTCAATACATGATGAAAATAATAAAATCATTTAAGAAATGCTAACATTGTGCTTAATACAGTATATTTTTTTGCAATAAGATTGTTTTTTAAAACTTTTGCATTCCAATGACACTAAAATGCATCATCTGATTGCTGTTCTTAAACATTCATATATTCACCATTGTCATGAATAATCTATTATAAATACTTTTTTCTTGCATCTATTCTCTTAAGACTTAATGTTGAAAATTTTGTACCAAAGTTATAGCTATAACCCAAGAAATAAATTAGAAAACGTAAAATGATTATAAAATATTTTTGCATCGTTGAGAGGCTCGGGGATCCCCGAACGTTTATGATCGAAAACGTAGAAAGTCTGGACCACCAAATTATTAACATATCTATATAATGGTTTCAAATAACCTATAATAAGATATCAACTTTAAGTAGAAAACAATTGGTAACGTAACTCCGGACCAACCGGGCTGTGGTGGGTATGTGGGCCTGGGGGCCGCTCCAAGCAACAGCCTGGTGGACCAAACTCACAAGTCAAGCCCGGGCTTGGGCAGTAGAAGAACTCCCAGAACCCCATCAACCAGGTATCAACTCCCTAAATAGTTTATTGTTAATGATGATAATGTACCTGTAAAACCGCAAAGCCACCTCGGGCTGGTCGGTGTAGAAGTGATGGGTTCCAATACACGCTATTGCTTCAACGTGAGTAGCATCGTGTTGTAAGACATCCTTGTAGTATTTAACTGCTTTGGTCAGATCATGAAGACCCTCATAAATCCTAGAAAACACATGTGTAATTATGTAATAGTATAATGATTTTTGTGTAATTGAATATCAAACAATTTTATATACAGTATGTTGACCAGACCACACACTAGAAGGTGAAGGGACGACGATGTTTCGGTCTGTCCTGGACCATTCTCAAGTCGATTGTGTTTATATACGTTTATATACAGTATATACTGCATTTAAATAATTACAGTATGGAAAACATGTATCATTATAGACAACTACATTGTAGATCAAACGTGACGTTTAGAATGAGCACCGAATATTTCTTAGACATGTCTAAACAAAGGTTTTTTTTGAGATATATACAAGAGTTGTTACATTCTTGTACAGCCACTTGTACGCGTAGCGTTTCGGGCAAGTCCTTAATCCTACGGTCCCTGGAATACGATCCCCTGCCGCGAAGAATCGTTGTTACAACCAAGTACACATTTTACTGTTGCGTTAAACAGAGGCTACAGTTAAGGAATTGCACCCAGTAAATCCTCCCCGGCCAGGATACGAACCCATGACATAGCACTCGCGGAACGCCAGGCGAGTGTCTTACCACTACACCACGGAGACTGTGACATATGACATATTATTAGGTGACATATTGTGTAAGTGTTTATCTTCATTTGAAGTTTGTTCACCAAATAACTCAAAGAATTTAGTGCTCATCTCTGACCTTAATTCAACAATCCAATGAAACTTCATTGAGTAAGAAATAGTTCATAATAAGATTAATATAATACGTTCAATCTCTGCCAAGAAGCACCTTCGTACACTATTTCATTTACTATCAACTCCAACACACTCTCTACACTTTAGGTCTAGTGTTTCTCTATATCTTTTAGCATTTATTTAAATATATTGAACTAGAAAACATTTTTCCATTTAGCCATTTTGTATTTCTCTACTCCAGCAAGATGGTTGTATTATATTATTGTCTTCAAATACTGTGTACCATGTATATTCTTCAGATACTGTGTACATACCATGCATAATCTTCAGATACTGTGTACCATGCATATTCTTCAGATACTGTGTACATACCATGCATAATCTTCAGATACTGTGTACCATGCATATTCTTCAGATACTGTGTACCATGCACATTCTTCAGATATTGTGTACATACCATGCATAATCTTCAGATACTGTGTACCATGTATATTCTTCAGATACTGTGTACATACCATGCATAATCTTCAGATACTGTGTACCATGCATAACATATTCTTCAGATACTGTGTACCATGCATAACATATTCTTCAGATACTGTGTACATACCATGCATAATCTTCAGATACTGTGTACCATGCATAATCTTCAGATACTGTGTACCATGCATATTCTTCAGATATTGTGTACATACCATGCATAATCTTCAGATACTGTGTACCATGCATAATCTTCAAATATTTTTTACCGTGTATAACCTTGAGACTGTGTAGCATGCCTAATTTACATCCACTTCTTAAGTTACTATTCTGTCATAACTTAAGTTACTTCAGTATTTAAGTTACAGCTGCATGGGTAATCTGGAAATTTTGTATTCCGATATTCTTTACCTATATCCCTTGTGTTACTATATCACATACCTTGCAATTGCAGTAAGCAACGTAACTTCCCCAGGGAATTTGTCGAGTCCGTCCTTGTACACCTCGAGGGCACCCATTGGCTGATCTAAACGAATGTATACTCGGCCCAGTAGTAGATACGTATTCACGTGATCCTGTTGTTTCAGTGCTGACTGTAGAATATGATGGGGGTATAATACTTCTATAATGAATAAACGTGAACAGATATTAATAGGTCTTGGCTATAGTACTATATAATAATAATGGCATAATGCTTTCTTCTAATAATTTCTTTGCAATTCTTACAGTTTTACTTCCGTAAAACTTTTTACTTTACTGTACTTTCTGTACAGTTTTACGTGAAAATGTTAACACACATCATTCACTCGTCCATATTATAGCATTACTTTTAAACTCAATTTATGGAAGACCTAAATTATGGCCAGTAGTAGTTTAGCACATTTATGAAAACTTTCACCCAAAATAAATGTGTTATAAGAATATTCATACATCATTACTGTTTCCCTCCTTCCTGAGGTAGCAAGGCTTCAGTGCATAGAAAATACAATATGTGATTAATTTAGTAAAAAGGAGTAAATGATTTAAATGTTAAAATATAAATTGAAATGATGTCTTGCCTTTAGTTTCCTCACTAGAGCCAAATTAGATGTGTGTAGATGCACTTTCTTCAGCAGCAAATTATAGAGGTTTATGCAAAAGTGTTATTGATTTGTGTGAGAGAACACTGCTACAAGTGAATGTCAAGAAGAGTAAAGTTATAGCAGAGAGAGAGAGAGAGAGAGAGGGGAATGTTGTATGTGGATCGAGAAGTACCAGATGTGAATGTTGTATGTGGATCGAGAAGTATTAGATATGAATGTTGTATGTGGATCGAGAAGTATTAGATATGAATGTTGTATGTGGATCGAGAAGTACCAGATGTGAATGTTGTATGTGGATCGAGAAGTATTAGATATGAATGTTGTATGTGGATCGAGAAGTATTAGATATGAATGTTGTATGTGGATCGAGAAGTATTAGATATGAATGTTGTATGTGGATCGAGAAGTATTAGATATGAATGTTGTATGTGGATCGAGAAGTATTAGATATGAATGTTGTATGTGGATCGAGAAGTATTAGATATGAATGTTGTATGTGGATCGAGAAGTATTAGATATGAATGTTGTATGTGGATCGAGAAGTACCAGATGTGAATGTTGTATGTGGATCGAGACATACCAGATGTGAATGTTGTATGTGGATCGAGACATACCAGATGTGAATGTTGTATGTGGATCGAGAAGTACCAAATGTGAATGTTGTATGTGGATCGAGAAGTACCAGATGTGAATGTTGTATGTGGATCGAGAAGTACCAGATGTGAATGTTGTATGTGGATCGAGAAGTACTAGATGTGAATATTGTATGTGGATTGAGAAGTACTAAATGTGAATGTTGTATGTGGATCGAGAAGTACTAGATGTGAATGTTGTATGTGGATCGAGAAGTACTAGATGTGAATGTTGTATGTGGATCGAGAAGTACTAGATGTGAATGATCAGTTGAAATAGTTAGGCCTGACTTAGGGTTAATTGTAAAAACAAAGTTGAGAATAGAGGGAGCCAGGGAGTAAATTTGGTGGTGTAATGCATGTTTGAAGGGAAGGAATGTGTGTGGTGTTGCTATAGAGCACTTACCAGCATCACTGCTGCAACCTGGATGAGTATAACAAAAGATCATGAACTTAACTCAACCATGATACTTCGTCTTTCATACCAACACATCCATACACTTCGCCTGAAAATGAAAACGGAGTGTGACAAATGCACAAAATAGACAGAATCACATATTTTTCCACAGTACTCTACCTTGAACTGCTTTTCAGCGTCCCTAAACATGCCAAGTCTGTAATAGCATCGTCCGAGCTGTACCTTCCACCACCAGTCTTTAAACTCCTGCGCTTGTGTGGCTTGTGCTGCCAGGTCTAATGCCTGGAAGGTAGCCCTTGGTTAATGCATCGTCTCGTCTCATTCATGTTACGTAAAATGGTAGAAATTCAGTAACAGTGACTTTCATGTTGTTAATTATCCCAGTATAGTAAAGGAAATGATGCCACAGTAACTATCTCATGTGAGATTTCATACTATTGCATAAATTACACAATTTCATCTTATAGTTCCCGTAGTCAGGGATAGCGAGCCTGTTAAGAATTATCCGGTTCCCCCTCTCCCTAGTCCAACTATTGACCATCCTCAGGATGCAATCCACAACAGCTGCCTAATTTATAGATACTTATTTGCTTCTAGGTGAATAGAGGCATCACGTGAAACATACCAAATATCTCTATCCAGATTCATGCATCGAACCTTTCAGTTGTAAAGGGACTGCTCTGACTACGAGTTTTATAACATTAACAATACTGTACTGTAAAAGTACTTGACATTACAGAAACTTAATTTCTTATACGATTACAGAAGCTTAGTTTCTTATAAGATTACTTAACACTGTAAATGATGTTATCACACTGACCTTATGCATGAACATAGAAGAAGTCAAGTTCATATAAAGTACAGTACTGTACTGTGAGTATATTTGGTTATACAGTATATCTGCAAACAGTATATTTGTCTCTTCAATGTTTGTTTATCTGCCTTATACACATTACTAAACATTAATTAAATTATAAATCTATAAACCTCTCTTTTTCTGCAGCATAAATACAGAAACATGTGTATGTTCAGCTCTATCCATTTTGAATATATTTACTATACAGTACTATACATATACACTATATGTATGCATGCATGCATCTATATACATTAAGTAATATCAGTACTTACATGCCTGACATCATTTTCATGAAAATAAATATAATCAAACAAAGCCTTTGCAATGTTTTGTTGACTTGCATATTTTGCAACATTTAAACGAGCTAAATTGATAAATGGTCCTTCTGCCGACGGCAACATGGAGGCTGTACCAAGACGCACATGTCGACCTGTAATGTAAATATAAATACAGATACAATGATATACATAAATTTATGGTTTATCAGTTGAAATAAACGTTCAATTCACCTGGGCTCTTAAGAGACTCGAACCGTGGACGGTTCGAGTCCGCGGACCAACAACAAACTTTCCACATTAGGACTACTCAATAGCTCGGTCGATAGAGCTTTGACCTTACACACTTAGGGTCTGCGGTTCGAGTCTCCTAGAGCCCAGGTGAATGGAATGAAATGCCTCTTTCTGAAGGAGCCCCTTTGGCTTCCTGAAGCTATCTTGCCGAGATTACTCCATATTAAAAGGTCACGTCAATTATGGAAGTTCTGTTTGTCTTACCATGGACCAGAGCCAGAAGCTGGTTCACCTCCTCCCTCACAGAGACACACCCAGTGGGTGACAGTCTGCTACCCCCCTCCCCCCACCACCACCAGAAAAAAAAAACTCCAGAAAGTCAGCGAAGCTTTACAGACAATTGGAGGATTCACAGAAAACAATCCCTCAAAACCACCCAGCAACTCTGTAAATGATTTACACAGCACAAAGGATTTACTAAAACTAGCTTGAAACTCAAGGGTCTGAGGAAGCAACCGGGGCTCTTGTAGAAACAGGTATTTCATTACATTATCACTGGATTTAATGATGACCTGGGGAGCCAGCCGAGGGCTGTGGCTGGGACGCCTGGTGGTGATAATCGGTACTAATGAGTTTCAAGTTAGTTAAGTGAATCTCTCGTTATGTGTGAATCATTTGTGGAATTGTTTAGCAGTTCCGAGGTTCTGTTTTTTGTGACTCCTCCAGTTGTCTGTAGAGCTTCACTGACTTTCTGGAGAGGTTGTCTGGTGGGGTTCTTCTTATCTTGAGGTTATCTTGAGAGGATTTCGGGGCTTTTTAGTGTCCCCGCGGCCCGGTCCTCGACCAGGCCTCCACCCCCAGGAAGCAGCCCGTGACAGCTGACTAACTCCCAGGTACCTATTTTACTGCTAGGTAACAGGGGCATAGGGTGAAAAACTCTGCCCATTGTTTCTCGCCGGTGCCCGGGATCACCCCACCCTCTGAGGTGGTGGATTATATATACCTGCTCCCTGCACCTCTGTGCGGGGGGGGGGGGGGGCAGGTTCTAGTTCTGGTACCTGGTAGGCCAGACTGAACGTCCGTGACTGATGTGACCTTTTTGTACCAAGCAATCTCAGTAAGGTAGCTACAGGGAGTCACTGGTGAAGGGGGTGGGAGACCATCAAGGAAATATTTGTGATCATATCTCATGTGACTAAACTTAGTACAGTATACGGTATAACATTATGTATCAGTTATAAGTACTGCATTGATTTCATGGATTACTCTGCAGCATTTATATAATACTGCTAAAATATAATACAATTTTCCTAATACTGTAGAGTGCTGTACAGTAATACATATTCTTTAGCTTAACACCACAGTATTTTTTAATATACTGTATGTGCTTTGGAATACTGTACTTAAATCAAGACACTAAAATACAGAAAGAGTAGCAACTTAATTAATTTGCTTATGGTAAATACTTGGAGAAACATTTATGTGATTTATGACATTCACAAAGTTTGTGAAAATCATTATCATAAATGTACCTGATGTGGCCGAGACAGGACGGGCTGTTTGAGCTGTGCGAGGAGTACGTAGTGCCTGATCCATTGTACCGGGCCGTCCACCTTGTGAGCCAGGTCGAACTACACCACTCAGAGGTTGACCCGACTGTGTTGATGGTCTACAGAATTACAAATGAATGATTATACACAAGACATCTGGTTATCAACACAGGAAGTTTAAATGCTCTTTCACCCATTAATGCTCCAATAACTGGTGCATACCTAAAGGTCTGTGAGGGTCCATCGGCAGTTGAGGGAAAGGCTGTGCGGAGGGACGTACCGGGGCGAGCGACAGAAGCTATGGTGTTGTCGTCCATCAAGACGTCAGCTAAACCCTCCTCCTCACCATCACATTCATCCACCCACACTTGCTCGGTGAGTGCTCGTGTCTTCAAACTCCATACAGCCTGATCAGATCATTTTTGTTTATTAACAAACCTTGATACATCAACATTTAGTGGCTACCCTAATTTATATGAAAGGCTTCAGAGCTTTTACATTAATTAGGGTAGCTGCTAAATGTGGACGTAAGAGGTAATAATGTTACACGGAGATCCCATCTCATGGAATAGTTTGTCATATTAAGTTTGTGAGATCTGTTAGCCACATCAGCAAAATTTGAATTAATTATCAACCTATCTTCCAAAATATGAGACCCACCACAAGGTTGGTGTCTCATGCCAGAGGGGTTTTAAGAGGTTGCTCTCTGGACTGGACACCTTAACTATAGGTAGCAACAATCCATCCTGATTCAGGCAGTCATTACTGTACATTACACTGTCTGGTGGATTTTTGTGCTTTACATATATGCAAGGTTTAATCTATATCATAATTTTCAATACCAGTTCTTCCTGGTCTTGGAATGGGTAATTTATATTCTATGATACCTCTGGCATGAAGCAATTTTATGTTTGCTGCATACAAAGATGATTATAAACCCTTTGCACTGTACAGTTTTCAAGTGAATCATAAATGCTGTCATGAAATTTTAACGGTCTCTTACATGCAAGTTTTTCAACCTCAATTTTTAACAAGCTTGGGTACATATACATTTTTCAGTTACCTGAAACTATATACAGTACAGTAATAATAATAATAATAATATATACATCCAGTATCCAGTAGAGAATGTTATATTGTTTGCAGTCATCGTACAGTTTTTATTTATTTTTTAGGAGAGACCCCTCAGTTGGTCCTCCAGCTTAACTCTGGTACCACCAAGTCTTGGCCCAACACACCAGGCCTCTGAGACCCAGCTATTGCCTAATGGGAGCCGGGATCAGAATTAGGTACACACTGTGAAGTAAAAAGAGCAGAGCATCAGACATCGACCATAAAATTTCAGAGTGTTATATGACAAAGAGTGCTGGGACACCACGAGCGTAGCTCTTATCCTGTAACTACACTTAGGTAATTGCAAAAACTGGTAAAACCAAACAGAAAGCATAAATGTAACAAAACAAGAGAATGATCAGTACCATGGGTTAACTACCCAAATCCTAATGCACCTGACTGCCACCAAATGGTAGTGCCTTCAGGCATGATTGGTCTTATTCCTAGGCATATTGAGTGGTCTTAGGGTCTTCAGTGGGTTTGATCCTTCTTCTCTCTGATGTCTAGAGGATCTGCCCAGCTGTCTGCTTTTCTGCTCTACAGTATAACATCAGTAGTGCTCTCCAGAGACCAGAGATCATCATTCATAACTTTATGACAAGAATGTAATTGCAGTGATCCCCATAATTGCAGTGCATCCCCATAGCATAATTGCAGAGCATTTATTTCTTGCACATTTCCATGCTGGATACTCTCACGCCTCACTTTATCCTGGACCTGCCAGTTCTCAATGAGTTTATTCCTTTTTCCATGTCCTGGATGACCACCGTGTCCCGGGCTCACCAGATGGTTTCAAGCAATTCTTGACTAATTTTCCAGGGTCTCAGGATCTCAGGATTGCTCCTATTGGCACATCCCAATTCTTTCAGAGCTCATGAATTGGCCGGGGGTTCAGAGCGGGACTCTGAACCCACTGAACCCAAGAGTGGGTTCAGAATGTTCTACACCCCCTTTATGAAGGCCTTGTGTAAGTCATGGAATTTTACCCTTTTTGGGTGGTAATTTGTTAAGTTTGTATGAGACAGTGTGTGTTATGTATAAATCTATGTACTGTACACCTATACAGTATTAATGTTGTCTATGCTACTAAGCTCATTCTCCCAGTTTATGTCGCTGATCGCTTCAGTGTAGTTGCTAAATGAGGTCTCATTGTATAGTTTGATGTTAATTAGAATATTTTCTAGTGATTGTTTGATAATGAGTGTTAGAAGAAATTTAGATAGTATACTGTTGTCCCATCAGTGATCATGGGCAAAGTTTGTAAAGGTATTCATTTGAATTGATTGATTTATATACAAGAAGGTACAATAAGTTTGTGAGAGTACATAACATTGGTGTTCTTACAGTTTTACAAAATCACTGACAAGCACAGCATTACAGGCAGTTATATTTATCAAACAGTGGCCAAAGGAGGAGGCCACTGATTAAGTATGATTAAGTAATTCTTAATTAAGTATGATTAAGTAATTCTGGTGGGTTTTGTATCATGGCTTCAAACATACAGGTGTTCAGACTTTAAGGAACCTAGCAGCTTGTGGACAATCTGGTAGACTGGGGTCCATATCAAAATTTCCAGCAAGTACAGTATTAAATGACTTGTACTATTAGTTTATTGTATCCAAGCATGGATACAATACATTCACATTATGATATGATTAAATATATGATACAATATATATATTCACATTATGATATGATTAATTATATGATTCAATATATATATTCATATTATGATATGATTAATTATATGATTATATATATATATATATATTCATATTATGATATGATTAATTATATGATTATATATATATATATATTCATATTATGATATGATTAATTATATGATTCTATATATATATTCATATTATGATATGATTAAATGGAAATATTGTTTTTGTCATCAAATGAGTGCCATAGATGGCCCTGTGTGCCCACATGTTGGTCTGAAACAAGGCTTTTCATGCTAATAATTGTGCTGAGGTTATCAGGGAAATGTGTGAGTTAAATAAAAGGAAAAGATGAGCCGAGCAATTTAACACAAACTGTATACATATAACATTACCACATGAAACAGCCCAGGCATACATGTACACTTATGGTTAAAGGAGGATTATGAGTTAAATGAGGCTAAATTGGATTAGGTAGAGAGGCACATAACTTGATATCCATCAAGAATTTAACACAAATTCCAGTTTTAACACTTATTTATTTATTTATTTATTTATGCATATACAAGAAGGTACATTGGGATTGTGAGGATACATAATATGATAATTACAATCTTGTAAAGCCACTAGTACGCGCAGCGTTTCGGGCAGGTCAATTCACTATTTGAATTGATATTTGTTAAAACGATGCATTAAATTACCTGATCGTATGGATTTTTGGCTAGTATTTCTGTGCATATTGCTATGGTCTTGTCGAAGTTCCTGCGCCTGAAGTTACTTAGAGCGATGAACAAGGGGTCCATGTTGAGGGGTCCGTTGTCATGGCAACCTTCGCCACAACACAAAATACTTGTGTAAAGGAGGAAAATGTATATGTTTATCTCTCAGAATGTTTGGTAATATGTTTATTGTTTGTGATGTGTGTCCATGTATGTATTAACACGATGTACTGAACGGGGTGAGAATAGCTTAGAGCTACCTCATCCCTTTGTGTGTATTTTACCTCAATAAACTTATTTCAATTTCAATTTCGCCACAACACACACTAAACTATTCCATTTATCACATTAAAACGTCTTATGAGATGAACATCTTACCTCAATGTTTATTGATTTTCATATGTAACTAAAAACATATTTTTTAGGGGATAATTGTAATATGCGGATATATATATATACCTTGTGTTTACAAACTTATAGACTCTGACAGTTAGTTGTAGTTTGTGTATGGACTCTATATGTTTTTTATAGTTATCAAAATATAAATATATATCAATAAAACGTTAACATTGATTAAAATAAGTGCTTTAATTTAACGGGGAACGAGCATAAAAATATTTTTATTAAGACTTTTAGCAACAGTTAAATTTATCGGGATTTCTCTAACATGTGAAACTATAGCGAAGTTAGTTCAATGTTTAATTATATTATTAATAAACACACATATACGAGTTCTATAATGAAGTGAAGTTAGGACTACATGTTCGCAGCCATGCCTGTCTTAAGACAGGCCTTCCAAGTTGGGCTTAATTCCCAGGCTTTACTTAACATTATTTAATATTTCAGGGTTATTGAACATACGTTGAGAATACATGTACATTTTGCATGAAAATCTATAAATGACTGCATTGAAGGCTTACAGTATATACATGTGTTCGCAACTTGTGTATAAATAATTTAGAAATATGCACGGTTCAAAAAGAACCAAAACATATATCCTGTGACGTCATGTCAAATTTTTTGTTTTTGTAATAAACATAAAATCTCCTAAACTAACGTAAAGTAAGCAAGCCATTTAGAGTAACTTAACCTACCATAATTTAATCTAATAAAAATAAAAGATAAATTCTGTTTTATTTTCAGTATGTAAATAAAGTGGCGTAAGTGACGTCATCAGCTTACCTTCAAGGATCTTTTTGGACCCATAAATAATATTTTTAAGCATACACAATTTATTCGAATTGATTATAAATAGTGAATTAAATACTAAAAACCGCATCAAAGTTATTTTTGGAGGCTTCCCAGGATGATAAATTAGTATAGTATAGCGTAGTGTGGATGTAGGGTAGGTAAGCTAGGAGGATCAGTCAACATGGTGGAACAGGCGGAGGCGATGCGGGCGACGGTGGCCTCCATGCTGCGGGGGATTGAACGGTGAGGCCGCCCCTACACCCTGCCCCTCTACCCTCCTCTCACCCCTGTGGTGCTAGGGACACACTCGTGGCTGCTCCCTGGGGCGCCACGCCCCCCTCGTGTGTGCTCTCGCTGGCCACCCTTAGGGGGACGGGGCGCCCCTGGTGGCAAGTGGTGTCACTAACCACCCCCAGGGGAGAGACCGGGCCGCCTGGGCAGTGTTCCATGCACTAGTCATGCAGGGGGACTATGAGGGGAAGGCGCCAAGGCATTACACCTTGTAGGAGCCGGTCGGCCTTGTGATCCTGTGGTCCTGGGTTCGATCCCAAGCGCCGGGGAGAAACAATGGGCAGAGTTTCTTTCACCCTATGCCCCTGTTACCTAGCAGTAAAATAGGTACCTGGGTGTTAGTCAGCTGTCACGGGCTGCTTCCTGGGGGTGGAGGCCTGGTCGAGGACCGGGCCGCGGGGACACTAAAAGCCCAGAAATCATCTCAAGATAACCTCAAGATAACCTTGGGGGGGGGGGGTGTGAACCATCACGACTTGTTATCTTGAGGTTATCTTGAGATAATTTCGGGGCTTAGTGTCCCCGCGGCCCGGTCCTCGACCAGGCCTCCACCCCCAGGAAGCAGCCCGTGACAGCTGACTAACACCCAGGTACCTATTTTACTGCTAGGTAACAGGGGGCATAGGGTGAAAGAAACTCTGCCCATTGTTTCTCAATGACATTGTTGTCTTGGGTGCTGACCTCCATACTCTTGTGACTATATAATAATATTATTATTATTATTTTATTTATTATTATTATAAATAACAACAAATGATATTATTTTATTCAGGAAAAGTACATACGTTGATGCAGAGTTACAAACATACTGTTGGAGTTATACACTGTACTATACTCTTATATTATACTCTACATATACTGTGGCTTGTTGTCCCGGTGATAGAAGAATTGTGCCGCAGCCCCTGTATGTACGAGCTGTGCCGCAGGTACACAGTCACGCTGCGTTGTGGTGTATTCGGCACGTTGAGGGCAAGGTGGCTGGTGTAGGTCTATTTGCTGCTGGAGCCGAGATAAACGTGCCGCGTGCATTTTAAGTCTCCTCGGAGTGTGACCGTCCACCACTCGCTTCACTTTAGGGTTCAGGCCCCTCGGCACTTCGTACACAACTGGTTGTGATGTATTATTATACTGGAGAGGTTGTAGGTGATGTTGCCGGATGATGAAATGCCGTACAACAAATGAACAAATCCACGAGGGCCAAGACGAGGGTTCGAACCCACGTGTGTAATGAAGTAAGGGCGAAGAGGTAGAACGGCCTATTGACATACCTCGGGGGCACGGGAGAATTGTGTAAAACCCTGGTTTGTGTCTCGGAGAGACTGCAGGATCCGTGGTAGGTCAGGATGTTTTCCCGGTTGCAATTCTTTTAACCGTGTCGTAGCTCGGTCGATTAAGGCAGCGTCTGGGATCCTCTCGGATGTAGGTTCAAACCCTCGTCGCGGCCCTTGTGGATGTGTTCATTTGATGCATCAAGCTATTGTGATTTGTGTGTGTGTGCAGTACAACCATTTTCTTTGCAGGTATAATCCGGAGAACATCTCTACTCTGGAGAGGTACGTGGAGCTCCAGGCCCGCGAGAACACTTACGACCTGGAGGCAAATCTTGCACTCCTGAAGTTATACCAGTTCAACCCTGGCAAGTACCAGAACACTGTAGCATGCACCATCCTCATGAAGGCTCTTACCAACCTGCCACACACCGACTTTGTCCTCTGCAAGTGTCTTCTAGGGCAAGAACAGGTAAGAAGTTAAAGTAGAACATTTTCCTAGCAGTAAAATAGGTACCTGGGAGTTAGTCAGCTGTCACGGGCTGCTTCCTGGGGGTGGAGGCCTGGTCGAGGACTGGGCCGCGGGGACACTAAAGCCCCGAAATCATCTCAAGATAACCTCAAGATAGTTTCTTCGCTTTCTAATTAATGTGTAGTTTGGTCATCCTAATACTTCAATAACTTTCCATTGTAATAACTGTCTTTATCCAATATAAAATAGTTCCTCCAATTTTATGAGCCTCTACCTTTCTAATCAATGTTTTGTGAGGCACAGTATCAAAAGCTGTGCTAAAGTTAAAGTTCACAAAGTGTCGGTTCTTTTTGCTGTCAACTGGCACAAAAGTGTTGGAAAGGATTGAAAACAAATATGTTAAACATGAGTAGCTAATTGTAAAGCCATGTTGTGAATTCATTAATCTTTGTTTTTCAAGATGGGTTTTGCAATTATTAATAGAAACAATTTTCCAACGAGTTAAGATAATTGTCCAATAACTTGGCACAAGTGATCTATTTCCCTTCTTAAAAATTGGCATAATATTTGCAACTCTGCTCGTTTCCAGCACTGCTCGTCTGTAATGCTTTACAATATTAAATATAGATGTAACGTGCTCACTTGGCTCATCCTTAGGTTCTTCTAGGACCCCGCCAAAGGCTTCCTCTCATCCTGGTGACATGTTTGGATCTAATTTTTCTGTTTAATAATTTCCTCCCGGGTAACAACTAAATAACTCTGCAATTCAACTAGCCTTCATTACCTACATTAATTTGCTCAGGTGTTGGTAAAATATAAAATTGTTTAATAAATACAGACCGTCCTTTTTAGAATGCAATTAATTTGTCATCTGTTGTTGGACCTAACTCATTTTTCAATGGCCCCGTCTTGTTTCTAGTCTTTGTGTAATTGGAAGAACCCGTTGGTGGTTTGTTTTTTTTGCCTTCTTGCCAGTACACACTTCATTATTGCTTAAGCTTTTCTTAGCCCTTTTTTTTTTTTTTAACCATTCTTGATGACAAGATAGATTTCTTCTAGATACCCTTTTTCTATTCTTAGTATTACAGTATATATATAGCTTTCTTAATTGTCAAGATACTTTAGTTCCATGGTCATCCATTGCTATTGAATCTAAAAATATATTTATGTAATGAACAAATCCACAAGGGCCGTGACAAGGGTTCGAACCTACGTCTGAGAGGATCCCAGACGTGCCTTAATCGACTGAGCTACGACATGGTTAAAAGAATTGCAACCATGAAATCAACTTGACCTACCATGGATCCTGCAGTCTCTCCAAGAGACAAACCAGGTTTTTACACAATTCCCCCATGCACCTGAGCTCTGTCAATGAGCTGTTCTACCTCTTCGTAGAACAGAGCTCGGGTGCATGGGGAAATTGTGTAATAATTGTGGTTTGACTGCAGGATCCGTGGTAGGTCAAGTTGATTTTCCAGTTGCAATTCTTATATACCATGTCGTAGCTCAATTGATTAAGGCGTGTCTGGGATCCTCTCGGACGTAGGTTCAAACCCTCGTCACGGCCCTTGTGGATGTGTTCATTTGATGCATCACACTATTGTGATTTGTGTATTTATATAATCTTATTTAAAAAGAAATGGAGAGCTAAGTAGAATCACATCAAAATCCACTGACAGGTTTACCCACCTCCAGACTCCAATCACATTTCAACGACAGCCCCCCTCCCCCCCCTCCCATGTTCAGATCTTCCAAATCTACTCTTCTTGAGAAACTTTTCAATCCCTCATAATTTGCTTTTCAAACGTCTGGTACCCCTTACAGACTTATTCAATTTTTCCATGCCGAGTTAAATCCTTTTGGTTACTGCCCCCAAACATGCTCCCTGTTTGTGTCATTTAGTGTCTCCCTCTTGGCTTGAACCAAGTGTAACATATTGTTTTCCTCCCCATGCTGCTTTTGTACAGTGTTTAAAAATGCAGTCGGCCACCATTTCGATAAATTTTTCTATCTCTGCTTAACCTGTTTTACTGATCCAGTCCACATTTGTTGATGCAGTAATATTAGTACAGTATTTCTGTGCACACAAGTATTTAAATATTGTTTAACAAGGAGGATGTCATCATTAAGAATGTTATAACATTGATGCCCATGTCTGCCCCCGTGTTTTCTTTACTTCTCAACCACCATAATAGATGGAAATGGCTTGGCTAAGCTCTGCATCGGGACATCATGCTTCACTCATGGGCATTTAATGAATCGCTATCCTGCCATTTATTGTCCAAATTGCATAATCTTTCTTATTGCTTTGCACTTTGTAGATCTTGCTTTCCGTAACATCTCTCTGGGTTGCTTGTCCCTCGATGTAATCGTTAGTGGATTAGATAGCTTTGATTTTGCTTGCCTCCTCTCCTTGTGTTCTCATATTGGCATCTTAATGGTTTTTAATGACTTGAATGTTCTGTGGCTCCAATTGTGCTAAATAGTGCACCTGGTTTGATGCTTCCTTTTGATAATTACTTACTTACACCATCTGCCATATATTGTATTTTTCCTACCTGATTGCACAAATGACTCTTTGAAGCATTTTTTTTTATATAGTGGTTAAATGTTACATTTAAACATTTATGTAAATGAAATCCTTTTGTTTCCAAGTCTATAATAGTGCTTTCATTTCAGATGGATGATATTATCATCAAACGTATTATGTACCTTCATGACCTGCTGGAAATGTGTCAGTTCAACATGTATTGGAAGATGAACGCTACATATTCCGAACTAGTATGTTGATTGCCTGTTTGTGCTTATGTATAGAGGACAGTATTTTGGTTTTAATGTTTAAGGCCTTGAATTTACAAATTCTGCAGCAAGCCGTTTTCTTTTTGATAACAGAATTATGGTGATCTCAGTTTTTTTGTTTTATATGCCAATGAGGGAATTAAAACATACAACAGAATTAATTTTGAGCAATATATTGGAGATGTTTCCAAGTATGGCTGTAGATTTCCATGAATAAGTTTTATAAATAAGCTGAAGTAATACATTGGGTAATGAAGAATGCAAGTAAATTTCTGTTAATACTTCATAACACACACATGCATCCTACAACACAGTGCTAAATAGTCTTTTGTGTTATACCTGCAGATTACAGACATCAAAGACTTCCATGACAGCATACGCAAGTATATCTGCCATGTTATAACAATCACCTATCAGCACATAGAGAAGAATGTTCTGGCCCAGCTCCTCGGTGGCATTGACGGTAAGTCATTGCATTTATCGGGGAAATGAGACTGCTAATTGTATAGAATTAAAACTGGAAATGACTTTGTATTTTGATGAACGGTTTGGAGTAAGGTACAATAATGTACATATTAATATATAATGGATTATTCCCAAAAGGATCAAATTAATGGCTTGTATGAATCTGAAAGATCCGAAGAAACGTTACTGACAAAAATTAATTTGTTGATTTTTAGTAAAAAATTCAAGTTTTCATGAAAATAATGGCAAAGTTTGTTGACATAGATTTGCATGGCAATTGTAATAGTTCACATGGAAGTACAGGGGACTTCCATAAGGGAAGGGGACATGGAAGTACATGGGAGATGCAGTGTGTTCATTTATCAAACTGTAATAGTTGACATGGAAGTACAGGGGACATGCAGTGTGTTCATTTATCAAATTGTAATAGTTCACATGGAAGTACAGGGGACTTCCATAAGGGAAGGGGACATGGAAGTACATGGGAGATGCAGTGTGTGTGTTCATTTATCACACCTAACCTACCCTTGACAGAGGTGGCCTTGCAGCACTGGATGACTAAGTATGGGTGGAAGGAAACTGATGATGGCTACGTGTTTATCGCCAATCAAGAGGAAACGGTAAAGACCAAGAATATCACTGAGAAGATTGAGTTTGACTCCGTGGCAGGAATAATGGCTGCCTGCAGATAATGTGTGGCAAGTGGAATTTCACTGGACAAATAAAACATTGTTTGGTATCTGTAGTTTTATATTCATCTTCAGAAATCATGTTTATTAATATCTACATTCTGAATTAAAACTTTCTACCTTTTATTAATGGGTGAAAATGCTTGCATGTCAATGAGTATAAGTAGGAGGAACCAATAATGCCAATGTACACTATTTGCTTATAATTTTACTCTTGCATGTATAAAAAATGTCAAATTATCAGTGAGTGCAACAGCTTTTTAGTAAGAGAAAACTTTCCTCTAAAATGATAAGATACAAAATATAGAACATTCTTGATACAAATTTGAATTAATTCTCTGGTATGTATTTGCTAGGCATTGTCACAAAATTGAAGGAATGTAATTAATACAGTACTTGAGCTAAACATTCTAACTGGTGTAGATAAATATTGAGCAGTTTGGTGTACTGTAGGGTGTAGAATCTGTGGAAGGTCCTCTGTTGTTACTGATTATCACCCAGAGCGAAGGGTGAGGTGGCATTTGTACGCAAGTAATATGAACCTCTTGAGCTGAAAAAAAAGTTGACTTATTATGAAAGGTACTTTATAATAGAATATTTTTGAGGTTAATGCTGGAAGATAAGCTGGTTGATCTTGCCCTATAATGCAAAATAATGACCTGGTCAATTAGGTGTGTTGGTCCTTGAAGTGTGAGAGTCGCTTATGTGTGGCTGGTAACTATTTGTCTATCAAGTTCTCTTTTGCCGACTGGTTTATTCGGAATATGCCTTCCAGACCTTTGGACTATTGGTGTAACTTAAGTTGTTGTTATTATTGTTTTTAAAACATTAAAAACAACGGTAATAGAAACTATTTTGAAACTATTTCAAAATAGTAACGGTGAATGTGTTCACTGTTACTATTTTTATTATTATTATAGTTCCTCTTTCCTCACGGCAGATTTGCTCATTCCTCTTCATCATACAAGGAATTGCTTCCTTTTACACAACTAGAACCAACACATCCCCAGCATAAATTTATGAACCTGGTCATTTTGTCAATACTCCAGAGTACAGTTTGAGGGCTTTGTTATGCACACAATGGATTAAGATATTTGATAATGAAAATGGTTAGTATATGTTCTCTGTTTTTAGGTTTCCAATACCAAATCCTAGAAAATGTCAGTAATCTAAGAACATACAAATACTAAAAAGATTACAAAATACTGCAACAATATTGTGACCAAAAGAAATGAATGCTAAAACTGTACATTGTCCTAGTGAAAATACAATTGTTTTGGACCATTCAGTTTGCATAATAAGGCAAAAGATTTGTCTTGATGAAAATTATTGTGATTTCGCAAGTAAGAACTGTGCTGGCACTTATTATTAAACGGGTCGTGAGTCATCCTACACGCACGCATACTCATGCACTATTTGAGATTCATGTGAATAATGATTATTTAAGAAGTTAACAAAAAAGAATTGCTAGTATAAATGGAATTAAATACAAGTACTGTACAGTATAGTATTTAAAAATATAATCTTAATGTTTACAAAGTACACCACTGGTAACTAATAATCACTTTAGTGAACTGTTGACAAAAACTTGAATTTCTGGTGTACTTTCCTATGCTGGCTCACACCCAGTCTTCCCCATTATCCCCTGGTAGGTGGTTTCCCAAAGCTCTGAGACCCCAGCCTTTTAAAATTACTTTCCTATAATTACACACACAAATCACAATAGTGTGATGCATCAAATGAACCAATCCCCAAGGGCCATGACGAGGGTTCGAAAACTGAATACTGTAATGTGCAGTTACAATGACCACTTATTCTTTTAACCATGTCCGTAGCTCAGTCAATTAAGGCAGCATCTGGGATCCTCTCGGACGTAGGTTCGAACCCTTGTCACAGCCCTTGTGGACTTGTTCACTTTCCAATGGTAATCAAAACCTCTACTTTTGCTCAGACTCATGGTGGATGGCCAAGCCTTTGAGTCGGATCAGCCTGGAAGATGTTTTATAGTGGGTGCTCATTGCGGGCTTCAAGGTTCCTGGCGTGTTGTCCCCTGACCCAGCTGTCTTTGGCTTGCTCTTGTTTGGATCCCTACCCCTGCCATGGCAGGGGTGTGTCTCATCTACTGTGGTAACTCTCCTTAATGCCTATCCTGTTTGTTACAACAGCACCCTCTACTGGGGGTGAACATCATATCTTGAAGTTATCTTGAGATGATTTTGGGGCTTTAGTGTCCCTGCGGCCCGGTCCTCGACCAGGCCTCCACCTCCAGGAAGCAGCCCGTGACAGCTGACTAACACCCAGGTACCTATTTACTGCTAGGTAACAGGGGCATAGGATGAAAGAAACTGTACCCATTGTTTCTCGCCAGGCGCCTGGGATCAAACCTGGGACCACAGGATCACAAGTCCAGTGTGCTGTCCACTCAACCAACCGGCTCCCAAATCATCATGCTAGAACACAACCTATTCCTCACACTCCTGTGTTCCACGATTTGTTTGGTCCAGCAGTGTGGGGTAAAATATTTTATAAGTCTACTCTGATGAATCTATCATCCCTGATTATTTTCACATGCAATTACCACCTTTGATGTCACCTCGGTGATATCAAAACCATCCTACAATTCCAGAGTCATTCTGTTCATCAGGTTGATAAGTTCGTGCGACCGTTTCAGGTTTGACATTCTAAACCCCATCAGGTTGGCAAGATCATGTAATTCTTGTTACTGCAGTGTACCATGCAGGAATACTACCTCTCTACATCTTAGATAAGTGCTAGAAATATGGAAAAAGTGCAGACATTATGGCAATGAGCCGAGCGGACAGCACGCTGGACTTGTGATCCTGTGGTCCTGGGTTCGATCCCAGGCGCCGGCGAGAAACATTGGGCAGAGTTTCTTTCACCCTATGCCCCTGTTACCTAGCAGTAAAATAGGTACCTGGGTGTTAGTCAGCTGTCACGGGCTGCTTCCTGGGGGTGGAGGCCTGGTCGAGGACCGGGCCGCGGGGACACTAAAAAGCCCCAAAATCATCTCAAGATAACCTTATGCGCAAGAAAAGTACTAGAGGGCCAATGTACGAGGACAGATTAAGAGAACTAAAAGTGTCAACCCGCTCAGGTAATCTTTAGTATAAGTATTGTACATTATTGTATTTACAGATGAATAACTTTGTTTCTTAAATGTGTTACATATTGAGACTAACCTGTACTCGACGTGGAAGCCCATGTGCAGGCACCCTTGGCCACAGGAGGAACAGTTGCCGGCCAAGAAAGTGTCCCAGTCTGAACATGGCCACGAGGTGAACATCTTGTCTGGGGCGAGATCTATGAGGCTCTCTACCCACAGTTCAGTAACTCTAGCATGACTACATCCACCTGAATAGTCAGTTAGAAAATAGCTTTTTCAGTAATAGTAATTATATGTTAGGAGGAAATAAAGGCTAACATTTCTCTATATGTAGACCATCTTTATCAGTTCTGATGCATTCATAAGCTCACAAGTTAAAATGCATCGTATACAGAATAATACACTTGTTGATCAGGCCACTCACTAGAACATGAAGGGACGACGACGTTTCGGTCCGTCCTGGATCATTCTCAAGTCGATGAGAATGGTCCAGGACGGACAGAAACGACAATGTCCCTTCACTTTCTAGTGTGTGGTCTAGTCAACATATTTCAGCCACGTTATTGTGACTCATCGCCTGCATAATACAATTTCTCTCCTTTGGCATATTTTGACCCTGGCAATGAAGACATATTATATATTTAAATGTTGATTATAATAAACTACTGCATATAAAACTACTTTTAAATAAAGGGTAGATAAATGTAGGAAGTATACTAGTTCATCTATTAAGAGGAGACTAAATTATTAATTTCCTTGGTCTACCGAAGAGGTTGCTTGGCGCCATCTTGAAAACTACTTACCAAAGAGGTCAATCCAGTCAGTAAGAACGTCCTCAGGAGTGACCACACATCCTGGTTGATGCCTCCCACCATTAGGATAGAAGTCAACGTGTCCCAGAGGCTGGTGGAGCGCTATACACCCCTGAAGTGAGAGCCGGATGATGTGCTAAACTGCTCCTCCCTAAACTCTTTGTTAACTTCTCTTTTTTAACATTATTTCAATTCTAAATTGCTTGAATATTTAGTGAGCTTGATGTGTAAAAGTTTCTTATGCAACACTATGCTGAACCTATTGCAGGCTAATGTACTGAAGTTATAGAGCTCATGTACTACAGTTACAGAGCTCATGTACAACAATTACAGAGCTCATGTACTGAAGTTAGAGAGCTCATATAAAGTTATAGAGCTCATGTACTAGTTACGGAGCTCATGTACAACAGTTACAGAACTCATGCACAGTTACAGAGCTCATGTACAACAATTACAGAGCTCATGTACTGAAGTTAGAGAGCTCATGTAATAAAGTTATAGAGCTCATGTACTACAGTTACAGAGTTCATATACTGAAGTAACATGACCACGACCTCAGGGCACCATAGCCATATAGTTCCCTGTAGAGGAGAATACCGAACACAGTTGAGGTCAGACCTCAGCGAGGGAGCCGGAGTTGGCATGCAGGACGTCGACAAAGTCAGCATCGGAGGAGTCGAGCCGCTGGTCGGCTGGCTTGTCATAGAACAACGGACCCGCTGGATCAAGACCTGGAAAGGTTCATCAAAATGTAAACAAAGCTGATACACTGAAGGCAAGCTGAAGCAATGCAATTAAGACCTTTGATTGTGTAAGAGCAAGAGTAATTAATGAGTCTCACACATCATTAGGCCCGTCACAAGCTCATCACATCATAACATACCTCAGATATACTTTAATGAAAATGGTAATAGTGATGGAGATAGTTCCGGTGTTACAAGTTGTGTGTAGTGAAGATGGCTACAGTGATGATGGTTGTGAGAAGTTAAGATGATTATAGTGAGGAAGATTAAGGATGGTTAGAGTTCTGATGGTCGTTCGTAGTAACGATGGATATAGACATATAGTGATATAGTTGTGTAGTAAAGATGATTACATTGAAGATAATGTGCAGTGTTGCTTCTGTCATTCGAGCAATGCCGAGTACTCCCGCTATTGTTACTTGATAAAGAGAACGAAGCTCCACGAACAACGAAGAATTGTAACATACACAGGAAGCTGCAATTCCATTACTTTAGGAGAGCGCTAGTTGGCCTTGGAGGCCAGACATTGTCTACTACCATCACTGTAGAGGTGTATGTATGATTAACACCAAACTTACAAAATACCTAAAGAAAGTTAGTTGTTAACGTAAAATGTGGTTACGAAGTAGGAAACATTTACCGGTGACTCTGGCGACAGTGCCGGATGTGACATATCTGGCAGTGAGGCCGGCAGTGTGGGCCCCTAGAGAGTGGCCGGTGATGTGGACCAGGGACGGCGCCAGTCTCCGGACACTGTGGAGCCAGTCGATGAAGGCTGCCGTGTAGTTGGCTGTCTGGTGAGAGATTGATTAATTGATAAAGATTAAGGCACCCAAAAGGTGGCACGGGCATGAATAGTCCGTAAGAGGTGGCCCTTTTGGACCATTACCAGTATCAAGAGCTGATACTGGAGATCTGTGGAGGTGCGGCTGCACCCTGCGTGACGGGAGATGTCTCCCGTGATGGGAATTGTACAGTCGTCTATTCTGTTGTTGTTATAGATTCAGCTACTCGGAACAAGTTCCAAGTAGCACGGGCTATGGTGAGCCCGTAACTTACCTGACACAGGAGCGGGGCAAGTAGCACGGGCTATGGTGAGCCCGTAACTTACCTGACACAGGAGCGGGGCAAGTAGCACGGGCTATGGTGAGCCCGTAACTTACCTGACACAGGAGCGGGGCAAGTAGCACGGGCTATGGTGAGCCCGTAACTTACCTGGCACAGGAGCGGGGCAAGTAGCACGGGCTATGGTGAGCCCGTAGTGGACTTACCTGGCACAGGAGCGGGGCAAGTAGCACGGGCTATGGTGAGCCCGTAGTGTACTTACCTGGCACGGGAGAGAGAGGCGACGCTCAGAAATATATATGACTGCCTTTATCAACACATGCACAAAATATAGCCCACAGATATCATTAGTGATTAGTTAACTAACCTTGTAGACGTTTTCTACAGCCAGATTATACCAAGGAGAGAGCACAAGAGTCTGCCAGTCCACAGACACAACATTACACTCATATAGCCCCAGCAGCTCTGTTGGGATGAGGGAAGAGATATATCACTAACATATCTGCCGCCTCCTATATGGGGAGACATCTTCCGTGACGCAGGGTGCAGTCGCGCCTCCACAGATCTCCAGTATCAGCTCTTGATACTGGTAATGGCCCAAAAGGGCCACCGCTTACGGGCTATTCATGCCCGTGCCACCTCTTAGGGTGACTTAATCTTTATCAATCAATCAATCATCGCCTCCTACATACATTACACGATGAAGATTAAGCCACCCAAAAGGTGGCACGGGCATGAATAGTCCGTAAGAGGTGGCCCTTTTGAGCCATTACCAGTATCAAGAGATGATACCAGTATCAAGAGATGATACTGGAGACCTGTGGAGGTGCGACAGCACCCTGCGTGACGGGAGATGTCTCCCCTACATTACACGTATGTATTGTATGTATATACATAAAATAAACAATTACATTCACACTCATATGTATGAACACGTTCATTTATTTGTGAATTTGATGTAAAGCTTAATTACTCCGAGTCTTTCTCTCAACTACTAATGTCATAAATTTACATATATAAAATTCACAAATACACACATTTGGGTTTTATCCTATTATTATTATTATTAGTAGTAGTAGAGGATTGACTGGGCGCAAATCCATAAATGTAGCCTCTGTTTAACTCAACAATAAAATGGGTTGTTAAACAATTTTTCGCGGGGTCATATTCCAGGGAACATAGGATTAAGGACCTGCCCGAAACGTTACGCGTACTAGAGGCTGTACAAGAATGTAACAACTCTTGTATATATAAATAAAAAAAATTATTAGTAGTAGTAGTAGCTAGTGGTGGTGATTGTCGCGCGTCGCGGCCGTCACTTGTTTGTGGCGTCTGAGGTAAACATTGTCCTGCTGGCCACAGTGCTGCTCACACTGCTCTACGCTGATCTACGCTGCTCTACGCTGCTCTACACTACGGGCTCTGTTCTACACTACCGGCTCTGCTCTACACCTTACCCCACTACTCTACAAGACACCGTAGCAGCAAGTTAGCACCATGAACGCGCCGCCAACCTTCGAGTCATTTCTCCTTTTTGACGGAGAAAAGAAAATTCTTAAAGAGGTTGACACTAAGGTGAGAGACACGGGAAGGAGTTATCAGGGGAAAGCGCCAAGCCATTACGACTCTATAGCACTGGGAAGGGGTGAGGATAAGGATTTGTGATAGGACGAGGGGGGGGGGAAGGAATGGTGGCCAACCACTTGGACGGGGTCAGTCTAATTACCACAAGATACACAAGCTTCACAAAGCTTCCTGGAAATATGTTAGTAATGAATGAATATGATAGGTTAGGCTGACCTAACCTATCCTAACTTAACCAAACCTAACTTAACCAAACCTAACCTAACCTAACCGACGCTTGGATCGTCGACTTGATTTGGCGTCACCAACTCTTTATTTTCGTCTAATTTCTTTATAAAAAGATGCTTTTTCAGATTAAAATTGTTTTTTCGTGTTGTACATTCAGCACCAACATTATAATGAGTAAATATATCATATTTATTCATTACTAACGTATTGCCAGGAAGCTTTGTGAAGCTTGTGGTAGCTTGCGGTAATTAGACGGACTGCTCGGACGGTCGGGGAGAGACACTGGAGAGTCCCAGCTGTCTTGGGGGGTAACCTGAACCATCTTAAACCTGCGCCTCACATTATAAACGTGTCGTCAGGCACACCTCGTCCACACTGAAACGATTGTACCTATTTTTGTTGGGTTATGTTAGTCGGTGTTGGGTTGTGTTGGGTTTATTGTGTGTTGAAACGTCCCGGTGTAAGACCTGTCGTAAGGGCAGAGAGTGATACTGTATAGTTACTTTGTTATATTAAATGTAGAATATCCAATAAAAGCTTGAAGAGTTTTAAGTGTTAGCACAGAAAATTTTAATTAAATCTAAAAATAAAAATTGGAGAAGTATGTAAATATAAATACTGTGGCTTCAAGTGAATGTTGAAATAAATCATTACTGCAGCACAGGGGGAAAATTATCTGGATGTAATACAAATGGATTTGGTTTCTGTTTTCTCATTGTCTGGTAAAGGAAGTCCATTAGGCTTATCAAGGCCCTGCGAGGCCAGTAACTGACCTTGCCCAGGTTGCAAGCAACAACAGTTGCCTAACTCCAGGGGTTCCTATTTACTACCAGGGAAACGGGCATCAGGTAAGGGAGAGTTCCCAAACTTCTAGCATGAAAAGCGAACTTTTTTTTTAATATATAACATAGTTATTTAAATATATATAACAGTTATTGCCTAGGAGCAAATTTGGTTCCCGATTGCATTAATTTAAGTACAGTAATGAGAATTTACCATAATGAATAAATCAAACTTTTTGTGGCATTTCTCTTGTAGCTTCGAGCTAAGTTTTGTTGCATATTGAGGTTTTGGTGGTCTTCAGGTACCTAATGCTGCCATCTACACCATCAACAAGGAAGATCACACTCTGGGTAACATGATCCGTATGCAGCTGCTCAAGGACCCAAATGTAATGTTTGCTGGCTACAAGAACCCACATCCCCTAGAACACAAGGTTGTGCTTCGTGTTCAGGTATGATGTCATTATTTAAGACTTAATGAGCTTAATGGTAACGTAAGTTTTAATGGTACTGTAATGCAATTGAAATAATATTCTTATTTTAGTGATATATATATATTTTGTCATCATATTCAGGGAAAATCTTAGATTATTGGTTTACAAGACTGGTTTTGACCCTCGTCCAGCTTCGGTTACCTCAAAGCAATATTTGCTACCCCACAATATTTAAATGTTCCACTGGTACTCTTGGAATGACATCTGTCTCTAGAGGCCTCGGGTGATTATCTGTCATTACACACAGAAAAGTCCTGGAGGTCACATTACACACAGTCGTAGCTCAGTCTATTAAGGCAGCGTCTGGGATGCTCCCGGATGTAGGTTCGAATCTTCGTCACGGCCCTTGTGGATTTGTTCATTATCTGTCATCTTGAAAAGCAATAACATGGCACGTAGCCCCTGCAGGGCAGCATTGTCTTCAGATACCATGTCTGACACACCATCTTCCAGCTACTGTCTCCAACACAAGCACCCACATTTACATTACTTGACCCCATGCATGTTTACCCATGTTTATTGGAAAATAAATTTCTATGATCGAGTTTATTAAGCAGTGAACCAGAAATAGAAGAAAGCAAGATGGAAATCGATAACGAGGAACCACTAAAATGGAAATCTGATAAAAGTGACTCGTTTTATGGATTTAGTAACCCTGATATTGGTTGTGGTGACAGACTTAGTGTTGCCGATAATAAGAGATACTTGTTGCGGAACTTGTGGTGGTGGCGACTGTCACGGGGCTGTGATACTTGTAAATACTCGATGTAAACCTACCACTATACTGTGCTCCAGGGCTGCTGTCTTCCTTTCAAACATACAATCTAGTAAGCCCTCCAGGTGGGGGTGGGTCAAGGCCTAGGCCCCAGGGAAAGTACTCCCACAAATTTACCTGCTTTAGGGTATGATAGACCGCTCCACACTGGACACAAGTAATAACTAGTATGTATACTTTATAGTTTATTAATCACAGAACTCTTTCCCAAGACGAAACTCCTGGCACTGCCAGTTGACATTTACTTTATACTCAGAATTTCCCTTGAACAGTGATAAAGGCTCACAGGCAAAACACTAGACAGGCCCAAAAACCTCGGTAGGAGGTACAGTTGGAATATCCTGTAACCCCTACAGACAAAAGAGAATCCTCTATACTCACAATCACTGGAGTAAGTGGGAGTGGATAACAATGGAGCAAGCCTAGAGTTGCTTAAAGTAAGAATAGTTACTAAAGTAGATTGATGGCCAATATTTAAAAATAGCTTGACGTGTAGTGTGTGTGTGTTCTGTGATTTGTGTTTATTAATTTTTGTTACTGTAGATTTAGGCATGTAACATTAGGATTAAGTTAAATATATGAGTTTGTGTAATTGTGTAACACAATTTTTTTCCAATTTAGACAACAGATGCCAGCTACACCCCACATGATGCCTTCATGAATGCCATCACCGACCTCATCTCTGAACTCTCGCTTCTAGAGGAAAGATTCCGAGAGGCCATACGAGAGAAGAAGGAAGGGTTCGACTAAGGTTCATTGTACTGTACAGTACTTGGTATTATTCATTCTCATGCCATTATTTTAGTAACTTATCACACATCATTAAGCCTTAAGAATTAAGACATTATTTTTATAGGGTTAGGTGGGACATTTAAGCTGCAGATGTAAAATTATCTTCTCTTTGTAATTGTAGGTTTCTCTACAGGAAGTTAGTTTCTGAATAGAAAATGTATGATTGTTTAATGTCATGTATGTGTTCATAATATTGCAAAAGCATATGTTGTTAATTTGCTTATAACTATATCCCGACTGTACATTAGTCAATTTTTTTTGTCACATTATATTTAGGAGTTCAGCATTGTTTGTTTTAATTAAATCACATACCACTGTTTGTATGTAGATTTCTTTGGATTTATTATACCGTTACAAAATGTTTCAACCTAACCAATAAATAGCATTTACTTTATTTTTTTCCTTCTTTTTTGTAATCCTTTGTATCAATAGCTTTGTTATACTGTAATACTGTAATTTGTACAGTGCATGTAGCCGAGAGAGTTTTTAGTTTCATACATTATGTAATATCCTTCATGAGGTTATATCATGATTGCAGGGAATGACTGGAAAGTCAAAATAAATATAAGAATTTCATGATCGTTAACCAATTTTCCTCCCATGTGGGGTGGGGAAGACGATCTTTGCGAGGAAAGAGCCATTCCCTGTCTGATCACCTATCACCCTCTCCCACTCCTATTGTAAAGAACAAAGCTGTGAGCCCCTACCCCAAAATGTCTACTTAAATAGGAATTTAATGCTTCAAATGTTGATAAGTGTAATTCAGAAGTTTTTCCTATATTTATGTTTTTCATGTAGTACATAAGAGGCTTGAGTTAAGCTGTGGGGATGCGTGTTCAATGCTCTCTTAACTCTTGTAATCTTTTAAGAATCTCTTAAGAGATACGGGTTATGCAGGAATTGTGTCGTATCACAGTAAGTTGTAATTGTAACCAGACGCGTAATGTACCACACACAGTGCACGATCAACCTGTCCTCAGACCAAGTCCATTCCATCCAGTGGTTGACCCCAAAGACACATTCATCAGTTTTAACATGTTCATTCAAAACGGGAATTTTCTCAAATATAAATTAGTATTATTTTATATTACCGTATTGTACATATTTAGGCACTGGTTAGGTTAGGTGTTTAGGTTCTGTTGGCGATTATTTGTATTTGTAGTATGCAAGTGAAGCATTTACAGCGTTGTGGTTTGAAGAAAATTCGTCAGTGAAGCACTTGTTCCGGAGTGTTCAAACATAATCAGTTGAGAGTTGTGTGTAAACTATTTTTCATTCATAAACAGGGGTTTGGCAGGTGCATGGAATGGACTTTGGGTCATTGTTTAGAGGACGGGCTGGCACGAGTTAACGACAAGGAAACCTACCAGTCTTGGTGTTGAGGATCCACTGACATTCTCCAAAGTCATTGAAGCCATGGTACATGAAATAGGTGGGAACACTAGCATTGAAGGGAGACTGGTCGAGATTCTCCAAGTCCCTGGGCAGCAGGCGATAGTAGTCATTGTTGTCTGGGTTAGTTCTGAAGTATTCATAAATCAAATGCATTTTTATCCTCTATGCCATGGGGATAAATGTTATGTACATGGAACTATATTCAGATGTTTGTTTCTTGCTACTTTATCAAATATTTTCTTTGTATTTGCAGTATTTACATCTTATAAGCCTTAATTTTCATGCAATTAGTATTTTTAACTTCGAACTGCAGTGATCTCTGAAATTTGTTTAGAAATGCCTCAAATACCCAACATAACACTACCTTTTTGATGACCTGACCACACACTAGAAGGTGAAGGGACAACGATGTTTCGGTCCGTCCTGGACCATTCTCACTATCGATTGAGAATGGTCCAGGACGGACCGAAACGTCGTCGTCCCTTCACCTTCTAGTGTGTGGTCTGGTCAACATACTTCAGCCACGTTATTGTGACTCATCGCCTGCACTACCTTTTTCTTCCCTTCACCTTCTTCATCTACTTTGTGATGTTCCAAATTTACACTTAAATCTCCCAGTCCATATTGCAGCAACACTCACTATTCACATTCATATTTTAATTGTAATTGAGTGTAACATCCAAAGTAAGCTAAAGTATATTTTGTGAATGTTGGAAAGATTGGTAGAGGATTATGACCAGATATGAATTAAGAGCCAATAAAAATGATTAGTTTCGATGACTTGTATGTACTGGTATTGCCTAAATAGAATTTCATACCAGGCACACAAGGTTATCCTTTAACCACTTGAAGTCAACACCTGCCTCTTATACAGATTGTATTGACCCATATACAGTTGTGTATCTTTAAGTGGAATTTGCTGATTTTCTTAATGGCAGAAAAAGATGCTTCACAACTATAGTATTCTTTAATGACAACTGTCACTAGGTAGATTGGACTTTTTATTGTTGATAAACTTGTCTTTTGCTCTCACATCAGGATCTTGATTTGTATCTTGATTTACTGTGTTCATTCACCTTGGATACATAAACTGTGCCCTGACTTAGCAACCTTCCCTTTAACATGATCTTCCCTACTGAAAGCTAAATTCAGTCACTTCTTGAAATTGATATTCATAACCAGGCAAATAATACTCTTCAGTCCAATAAATGAGCTGACCTGGTCCAGAGAAGAAAGCGAATGTCGGACAGGTTGCCGAGAGTCAGTCCTGAATGGACCCGAGGGTAGACAGGCACTGTGTTTGCTGCGTCGCTGGCATGTGCATCCCACAACCCAATGACATCCATCACCAATACTGCAGGAGAAAGGCGCACATCAGTGGCGCACAAACAAGGTCTTATTTCAACATGGTTTTAGTTTTATGGGCTTTATTTTTAGCATTATACCTTATTGTAGTTTAGGACCTACTGTAATTGTATCTTAGAATGTTATGGATTGTTTTGTAAATATAGCCACCCTTAATAGGGATGAGTTTGGCATGTCACTGATGGTTAATAAATGTACCTTTGTCAATAGAGTGTATAATGTTTAAGGAAGGCACTCACTCAAGAGTAAAGAGAACAACATGGTTGGCTGCTAGGGGGTGGTGGTGCCGGTGGCCTCGGAACAGTACTGAGGCACCACCCTCCCTCCATCCTCACATAATCTCTTATCTTGCACTGTGGCTCCCAAGATAATGCTACCATTAACTGAACACCACCTTTCATCATCCAACTTTCTATGTATAATCAGTTCCATGTATACTTGCCTAGAAATGCCCGAATCCTGCCCAAAACGCTGCGCGTACTAGTGGCTTTACAAGAATGTAATTACTATGCTATGTATCCTCACATTCCCAATGTACCTTCTTGTATATATATAAATAAATAAAATAAAATAAATAGATGTGCTTGGAGAGTTAAGGTTAAACTCCTAGCTCGGCATTTTAAGCTGCTGGTTGATTAATGCAATAAGTCAATTTCTGCATGTATCCTATCATATTTGCTTTTGCAGCAGTGCAGTATTGAGTCTCTTAACCACATTCATTTTTTCACTCATTCCATTTACAACTACCAATAAACATTTCTCCTGAGGTCTCTTAACTCGTTAGTTTTCCAATTTCCAATGATTCCCTCCTCATTCTGCAATTTATCATTTTGAATATTGCTACTTTATCCAATTTGTCAATTGCTCTTAAAATATTTGATGTACGCTGTGCTGCTGGTTTCTTCAGGTAGTTGTGTGGTTGGTACAGTTCACAGAGCGTTTTGCTGTACAGTAATTAATATCTTCTTGTCACTAACACAGGTGCACAAAGCATCATTGCCACTATAGAGGAGTTTACACTAATCCATTTGCAAGCACAAAAGGTGCTGTTGTGGCTCTATTGCTTGCTAGGAAAATATAAAGTTCATTTCTGCAGTGTTTCCCGCTTGTGTGGACAACCAGGGGCATGAGCCTGAAGAGAAGCAACACAAGCCACAAAATAGGTCACTGTGCTAGTCTTTGAGAATGTAATAAGCATTACGAAATGCTTTCAGGCGTCAGACCAAAAATGAAAGAACGAATTTTGGAGAGTTAATTTTTCAGTTACCTTCGACAGTGAAGAAAAACGTAAGAAATATTGAGAAGATTCGTGTTAGAATTATTAATCTTACCCTTTCGGTCATATTCAACAACAAATGTTTACAAGAAAGATTGCTACTAAAATATACAAATATATTACATATATACTGTAATTATATAATTGTGTGTGTGTAAATCTCGAAAATTAACACGATGAAAAATGTTAGTGTCAAACCATAAAGGAAGGATTGAAACAGGAATTTCCTTAAGTTCGTATTCATTAATACATCTTCAGAAGGATGGCTTTACAGATTGACTGATAAAGATTAAGCCCCACACAAGAGGTGGCACGGCCATGAATCCAGATTTACAGATTGATTGATGATTGATGAAGATTAAGCCACCCAAGAGGTGGCACGGGCATGAATAGCCCGTAAGTGGTGGCCCTTTCGAGCCATTACCAGTATCAAAAGAGGATACTGGAGATCTGTGGAGGCGCAACTGCACCCTGCGTGACGGGAGATGTCTCCCGGACCAAGTGTGGCATGAGATTTACAGATGATGATAAAGATTAAACCACCCAAGAGGTGGCACGGGCATGAATAGCCCGTAAGTGGTACAATTTTTTTTTTTCCCCAGTGTTCTGAGGTTGCATTTAACCATCAAGCTGTTATCGTGGGGGAGGATACTGCTTCACAGTCTTTATGAGGGTGTCCAGCTGCTGGACACCTTTGTTGACCAGGAGAGTGGCTGTGTTGATGGCTTCAGGGTGGCCACTGCATGATTCAGGAACTCTTAAAGCTCTTCTAAGGTCACTGGTTGCTTCACATTCCAGAAGATAGTGAAGTAATGGCTTTTCTGTGACAGTTTGGCAGAAGATGCACTCTCTCTGTCGGGGTTCACCAATCTCCCAGTTGCATCTGTAACCTAGACGTAGTCTATATAGCCTAACTGCTATTTCCCTGTGGATTCCTTTTGGGATATTTAACCTTTCTAATTTGGTTGCCTGAAGATACCATGTTGCAGATGGCGAACCTTCAGCTATTCTCTGGTGTAGGTCGGCTTTGTTGAGATGTGAGAGTTTTTTGGTGATGATGTTTTTTATGTTCTCTAGGCTGGGTTGAATTGTTTTATGTATCACTGGATGACGAGTTGCCAATTTAGCAATTTCATCAGCTTTTTCATTTAATGGGATTCCAATATGGGATGGGATCCAGTTTAAAGTTATGTTGAGGCCTTTGCCTTTAGCGACTGCTCCTTGATACAAAATGGTGGTAATTATTTCCACATTATCTTTCCACTGTTTTTGTCCTAGTATTTGAAGTGCAGCTTTTGAGTCTGTGTATGATTGCATTTTGAGTATTTTGTGCAATCACATATGCGAATGCCTGTTGTATGGCGAACAGCTCAGTTTGGGTTGATGATACTAGTCCTCCCAGTCTCCAATATGCCTGAACGCTGGTCGTGCAAAGAGCAGCGCCAGCACTCTCATTTTCTGTGTCCACCGATCCATCTGTGAAGATGTGGGTGGCTCCTGCTACTGCTATGCTATACATTTGCTCTTCTATTATGCGCCTTAGGATTGTCGGATCATAGGCAGCCTTTTTCATTGGGAGACTTTCTATTACTGTTTTGAAAGTAGGCTCTTCCCACGGCGCGGAAGGAGTGTAATTTGGGTGTGGATGATCACCCTCTCTATCAAGAATCATGTTTTTTAAATGTAGTCTGTTTAGGACTTTTCCTGCTCTTGCAACCCAAGAGTTTCCATTGTTTTGGCCTAGTCCAACCACCAAAGCCTGCCGTACTGGGATTGGATCAGAAGAAATAATTATCTTACTGATAATTGTAGCTGTCCTTTGTGATATTCTTTCTTGTAGAGAGGGCAAACCCGTCTCCAGTCTAAGAGTTTCAAGCCTGGTCCACATGGGGGCTCCCAGTGCAGCTCTCATGGCATTGTTTTGGGCAACTTCAAGCTTTTTCCACTGTTGGTGTGATAGATTTGTGAGTGCAGGTGCGGCATAATCGATCACTGATCTGACTGCCTGTACATAGTATGTGCGAAGGACTTGCAGATTGGCTCCTCCAGAAAGGGAGGTTAGCGACCTGAGAATTGCCGTCCGGGCCGCAGTTCGCTCTCTCAAGTATGTGACCTCAGCATTAAAATTCATGTGTGTGTCCAGGATGATTCCTAGATACTGATAGGTGTCGACCCATTCTATTGGTTGACCCTGTACTGTGAGTTGGATGTTGGGCTTCGCTATTTTTATGGGCATGGCCTTTGACTTTGAGGGGTTGAGTTTGATCCCAATCTGTTTTGCCTCTTTACTGATGCAGTCTAAGCATTTGGGTGCAAGGCGCGCCGCATCCCTTCCTTTTATGATGATGACAAAGTCGTCCGCGTAGTTTAGCAGCCTGCAGTGATGTGGGAGTTTCAACCTCATTATTCTTTCCATTAAACAGTTGAAGAGAAGAGGGCTGAGAATACCTCCTTGCGGTGTACCATTTTCATGTCTTTTGTACTCAGAGACTGTGCCATGAAGTTTTACTCTTGCTTCTCTGTTTATGAGACAGTTTTTGGTCCAGGAGAGCAGGTTGCCTCTGACCTCTTTGTCAATGAGGCAGCAGAGAATAGCTGGGGCGCTAGCCAGTTCAAACGCTGAGATTTACAGATCAGTAGGTTGGGTATATAGGCAGGAAAGAGGTGAAGTGAGGTGAGGTACAATGTCTTTAATGAGAGAGTGGATATTAATAGGGTATTAATGAGATGGTGGATATTAATGAGATGTTGAATTAATGATTTTGTAATCTGTATTAAAGCAGATACAGGTGTGTTCCTATTGAAATTAATTTTATAATTCGTTATTGAAGAAGCCATCTCCCAATCAATTTGGTGAGAATTTTTGACAAATGAACAAAGCATTAGACAATTATCTGTGTCTTACAGAGTATTTATGTTGCAAAATTGTAAATCTTAAGATGTCTGCCCTACGCAGAACCTATTACAGTCTTTACAAGGTATTTTTTAAATACACAATTATCATTACGAGGACTGTAGTGATAACATCCGACTCATGTAGGCTCCTACACACTCGCTTCTTTCTGCTGAGATCTTCTTCTCTGCTCTTCTTCCATTGACATGGACCTGACAGGGACGTCTGGCATTACATTAGTTACTTGATTGCCCATCAACATTTCCCCCTCTTCCTTCCGCCCTCCTCTCTCCTTCCCTCAGTCGGAGTTTGATTAGGCGGACCAGAATCTTTTTCACTCTCCACGCTGCCTTCCCTGTCCGATGTGTGTTCCTCAGCCAATACTGACTGTTTCTTATCTCTGGCAGATATGTAGTCAAATGTTGTTGGGTTCCCAGCTATATTTGGAGTTACTTCCAATGAACTTTAGGACACTGCCTCTTAGGATGCCATTAGTATGGCATCCTAAGTATGGGTATGTATGGGGGCCACAAGCTACTGTTCACAGGATTAGTATGGGGGCCACAAACTACTGTTCACAGGATTAGTATGGGGGCCACAAGCTACTGTTCACAGGATTAGTATGGGGGCCACAAGCTACTGTTCACAGGATTAGTATGGGGGCCACAAGCTACTGTTCTCAGGATTAATATGGGGGCCACAAACTACTGTTCTCAGGATTAGTATGGGGGCCACAAACTACTGTTCTCAGGATTAGTATGGGGGCCACAAGCTACTGTTCTCAGGATTAGTATGGGGGCCACAAGCTACTGTTCTCAGGATTAGTATGGGGGCCACAAGCTACTGTTCTCAGGATTAGTATGGGGGCCACAAGCTACTGTTCTCAGAATTAGTATGGGGGCCACAAACTACTGTTCTCAGGATTAGTATGGGGGTCATAGACTACTGTTCACAGGATTAGTATGGGGTGCATAAACAGTAGGCTTGACACGCGATGAGAGATACTGTTCCCTACATAGAAGTTCTTTTAGAAGAGTGACACTACCAGGTTCAACATGCCGGAACAGTCACTCAGATTCAAAATGTTCTTTGTGTCAAATAAGGAATACCAAAGTTAGACTAAAACTCAAACATTCATACTTCTGCGGATTGGAAGAAAACGCTCACAGAGTGGGACTTAATTTATTTTTATAATC